TGCCTTATAAACCGTTCGTGATAAAACACTTTTCACTTTTTTTTCCATTTATTCAATGACTAATTTATTATTTTTTAAAAACCCTGTATAAATGAAGGATCTTCATAATGTGGCAGTTTTTATTGATGAAATGTTTGGTCTTGCAGTCTTATGATCTGCAAAATTATGTTTTTTCACATGTAAATTTAGTCATATTTTACCGTGTCCATAGTTTTTAACAAAGTTTCAGTCTTTAGCTGTAGCTCACACATTCAACAATTTATAGAATACTGGCTCCTAATTCCAAATTCTCTTCAGCCTTTCAGCTCTGGCCGCCAGGTCGTGGTGGAACGTCATAACAGGGAGCAAGGCCTGAGGAAGGAGTGGCACGGTGGATCAAGCTCCCAGGAGAGGGGTTTCCCTGATAATCGCAGGATGGGAGACACCAGGAGCTTGATGGCTCCTTCCAGGTATAACAAATTTTCAAACAGGTGATGACAAAACTGTATAGCATTCCCGTGTTGTCGGCCGTTTTAGACGTAGGCTTTGTTTCTCTTTCTGCAGTCACTCTTCGTCTGGGCTCAACCGAATTGTACAGATCACCAACAACTCCATTCCTAGTGGTGGCAACGTGGGTGGATTCAAGCCCTACAAAGGAACGCAGCGGCAGTTCTAACTGTAATCAAATTCTGCCACTTTAAAGCAACTGGGAATTTGAAGGCTTTTCTGAACTCTTTATTTTTAGAATGTCAACAATTTTAGGTGGCACATTTGTAGCCATGAGGTTAATCACACTATTTTTTTAGTCTATAAGTTTAGTGCTTACCTCGTTGTAGGGTTTTCCTGACAGTTCTGCTGTTACCATTAACACCCTGTGCACACATTTTTATTTTGTGAAGATATTGTACAGCCCCTAGGTCTTTGTAACAAGTTTTCAAGTGATGTTACCATCTTCTCCTCTAATTGAGTGTTGTATGTACATTTTCAGTAGTCTAGTGTTGGACTGTGCATTATGTCTTATTTTAGAGTATTATAGAGCTCAAAGCGACAAGGATCATTCACCCATTTGGATGTTTCTCTGTGAGGAAACATAACATAAGTCATACTTGGCGTGGAAGTGCTGTTTTGTAAAGATTAGTTTTGTTAGTTTAGATTTGCTAAAACAATGTCACACTGTAATCTAGCCTGCATTTTAGCAAAAATACCTCTCGTTGGTCATAAGTTGAATTATGTACAGGCCTGAAATAAAAAACTGACTTAAGTCTATTATTGTACGGTGTTCAGTGGTGTACGAGTCCCTGAAGGACCATAATTCAATGTTTTTATGTTACGCATTGTTATTTCCATGATTCTGCCAATGTGATCACACCTGGCAGTCTCTCCGTATGATTTTGTAAATCACATATTTGGGCAGGCTCTGTGTGGATCCTTTAACCCTGTGATACAAGCAGCAAGTACTTTTGTTGGCAACATGTAGAAAGAGTTGGAAAGATGTGGTACACAGCATGAAGTCTGCACTTTGATTTAAACTACGAAACATTGACACGAAAGCGGAGCAGGCATTGTCAGCTGTGACTAAACCATCAGCTTAAACCTCCATATTGCTTTTTCATGCATTTGTTTTATTTATTGTACTTATTTTATAGTTGGAACAAGACATCCAGGTCTGTACTGCATGCTCTTAGACTGCTGCACACTCTTTACCCACATCTGTTAGAATTGGTTGATAAAGCTTGATTAAACTACAGAAAATTGGTAAGAGTGACTGCTGATTGGCTTAGTAGCCTAATTGTCTCCATGCATGCCAGGTCGACCTATTAGGGGGGCCTGGGGTAAAGATCAGCCTATCTCCCACCTTGTGTATGTACCCTGTCTCCCATCCAGTACCAAGTACATCATACATATTGGCTTCATTATTTGAAAGAGAGCCAAGAAACACTTATGCTGGAAATGCAGTCCCCTCCAAAAGTATTGGAACAGTAAGGCAAATTCCCTTGGTTTTGTTGTTCACTGAAGACATTTGGGGTTAAGATCAAAAGATAAGTATGAGTATAACAATTCAGGACATATCACTGTTTGTATTAGACCACAGCATTCTTAGGTGAGCAAAAATAATGGAACAAATAATCTTAAGTAAATAACATTTAATATTTGGTGGCATAACCCTTGCTTGCAATAACTGCCTCAAGCCTGCGACCCATCGACACCACCAAACTGTTGCAGTCTTCATTTGTGATGCTATTCCAGGCTTTTACCGCAGCTTCTTTCAGTTCTTGTTTGTTTCGGGGTGTTTCTCCCTTCAGTCTCCTCTTAAGGAGGTGAAATGCATGCTCTATTGGGTTAAGGTCAAGTGATTGACTTGGCCAGTCTAAAACCTTCCACTTTTTTCCCCCTAATGAAGTCCTTTGTTTTGCTGGCAGTGTGCTTTGGGTCATTGTCCTGCTGCATGGTAAATTTCCCCCCGATTAGTTTCAATGCATTTCTCTGTAAATTGGCAGGCAAAATGTTTCTGTCCACTTCTGAATTCATTCTGCTGCTACCATCATCAGTTACATCATCAATAAATATTAATGAGCCTGTTCCAGAAGCAGCCATGCACGCCCAAGCCATGACATTACCTCCACCATGCTTCACAGATGAGCTTGTATGCTTCGGATCATAAGCAGTTTCGTTCTTTCTCCACACTTTGGCCTTTCCATCACTTTGGCAGAGATTAATCTTGGTCTCATCAGTCCATAAGATTGTGTTACTGAACTTTTGTGGCTCATCTCTGTACTACTTTGCAAATTTCAATCTGGCCTTCCGATTCTTCCTACTGATGAGTGGTTTGCATCTTGTGGTGTGGCCTCTATATTTCTGCTCTCTGAGTCTTCTTCCAACAGTGGATTGTGATACCTTCACCCCTGCACTGTGGAGGTTGTTGCAGATGTCACTTACTGATGTTTTGGGGGTTTTCTTCACAGCTCTCACGATATTTCTGTCATCAACTACTGTTGTTTTCCTTGGCCGCCATATTCGATGTCTGTTGCTCAGTACACCAGTAGTTTCTTTCTTTTTCAGAAAAGGGTGGTAGGTCTTAAGTTGTTAAACACATCTAGATGTGAATACCACAAAATGAGAGCTGAAATTCTAAACACTTGTCTCATACTCATCTATTGATCTAAAACCCAAATGTCTTCAGTGAACAACAAAAATAAAGAAATTTGCCTTACCGTTCCTATACTTTTTGAGGGGACTGTATACTGCCTGGTCTGTTTATTTCATCTGTGGTAATTAAAATTTATAGTCTAATAACTAGTGGGCAAAACAGTACCACTACTTTACGATACAATGCATGACCAATTCATCAAAAACCAAATGACAGTTAATCTAAGGGTCTGGGGCCCTTGGGGAAGTTACCTGCTTTTTCTGGTTGGCAAACCAGTCTCTTCTCCAGAACTGAAAGTAGTGGCAGTTCCCTCTTGGGGAGCCTTCTTTCACACCTGTGGACTGGCTGACATATTTAGGAAAAAACTTACAGATGTTTGACTGGGTTTTAAAATATATATATTTTTAAAGTGCTTTATGATGGTAATTAATGGCCTAAAAGCCCCTTAAGTTGCTGGGAGAATAAATTGGCTATCTCTCAAGTCATTTACAGTTGATCAATAATGCTTATGTTGAATGTTACTGGAAATTCTGCACAGCAATCCCATGAAGAATAAAGTTACAGCCATAACAGATTTTTAGATTTTCTTCAATTCTTTCCTGCAGATTCCATTAGGGTCTGGATTGATTGTGACATATGAGCAACTATCTTCAAGTAACTTTGGTTTTAGAAGAATTCTAAGCTTTGTCTGCAACGTCCATTTGACTTGTTCTGTTTCTATCAAACTATAAAAGAAAAAAAGTCATCAGGCTGCATCCTGATATTGGTTCACATAATGGGAACAGGAATTGGATGCAGTGGATTTAACTACAAAATTTTTGAGTTTATGCTTCATACATTTCTTAGAAGATCAATGTGATCAAACATGGCAGGCTGTCTTCAAAGTAATTGGAGACAACAACAAGCCAAATACTGATCTTAGTCTTTTATTATCCTTGTACTTCTAATCAGGTTGAATGTCCCTCGTCTGTAAGGCATTTTGATATATATATATATATATATCTCACCACATACATTATGTGACTGTAATGTGAAAGGCTACATACATTATTTGGTCATTTATGTAAATAGATGAACATTAAAATCAACACAAATGAGTAACCTCCCATATTCAAACACCTTTCTTTCGCTTATGTTTCACATGAAATATAAATATAATGGGTCATACAGAAATTATATTCTTGGGGAAGTTAATTTCTTTTTACTCTGCCTAACGTTTCAGTCCACACTATACATGCACCACAAAGTAAAATCTGGGAGTTTGATATTGCATTAAAAGAAAACATCTCCCTTTAGATTGTTCAGCAGTCTGGATGTGTGTCTCATACAACAAGAATGAACATTTCCCTCTGCTACATAGATGATAACGCTCAAGCCTTATAAAGTAACCTTTTCCCCCTTGTTCTGTTTGTAAATGTTTGAGCATATTTGAAAAGTTTTGTGGTTAAATGATGGACTCTGGACCTTGCAAAATAACAACCTGAATTAGGGGTGCACATACAAATTGGGTCGAGTACCAGTGTCTACATATTTTCTTCTTCTGTAGAAAAAAAACACTTCTTTTAGACAATTCAAATGGCATCCATCTCTCTATTGTTGTAATTGATATCTTCCTCATCTATGAGCTGTGCGCTGGTACCTTTGTCTGGTGTAGGTGCACCACTAACCTGAATATATCAAATTGCAGCAAGTTCTATTGACGTGGTACTATTTTTTAACATATGTACTTGTTCATTTTAAGCCAAAACATTTAAACAGCCCTTTCATTTACAAATTAATAATATTCAGCTGGCTTAAGCTACTACCAGCTACCTGGTTGAGATCATTCTTTTGGCCATTATTCAGTTTTTAAAAGGTACCCAAAGAACAATCGCACTCTTGCACAATTTATGTTCTGTATAAAATGAGGTATGTTTCTCTTCTGTTAGTGCATATCAATGTAACAGTGCAAAACCAATTACAACCACAATTTGTTCAACAACCACCTTGTCAAAACACAAATTTTTACAGCACTTACCCACCATCACTTTTACAAAGCAGACAAGAAACCACTTTGAGACACTGAACACACAATATCCTTCTTATCAATTCATTTTAGGAACTAGGGTGAAACAAACACATTACAACAAAAATATCAAATTCTGGTAATAATGACAAGGGATAGCAAGCTAATGCACAGTATTAAAACTGAAATAATAATGATAATTAATAATAATAATGTGTGGCATGTTTCACTCCTTGCTCTTTTCACTCATACAAACACCAACCAACATTTTCCATATGAATTCAAACCTGCCCTAAGTGACATTTCATCTTTTTTAAACTTCCACTGGAATGTTTAATCAGCATGTTCACTTGATGGGCTGAGATATAAATGAGATGAAACTCAAAAAAAAAAATGCACAATGTTGCCAAAAAGCCTTCCCTCTGCTTTCTTGCTTTCACCTTATAATAATATGTATTATTAATTAAAGCTGCATGGAGTGGGGGAAAAAACTGCCAAGGAGTCAATGAAGAAAGGTCTACATGATTAAAAATGTTCCTTAACCATGACTATGGAGGTTTTTATTTTTTTATCAGGTAGTCCACGTTACGAGAAGAGCAGCTTGATTCATTGTTGTTTTTTTTAGAGTGAAGTTCAACAATGAGGGTCTTAAAGAATATAGTGTTAAGTCCTTCAAAGTGTCACAACAGTTGTGTGTGTATACATACAGATACTTAAAAGTTGTGACTGAGAACGTGATGACAGGCCGAGGAACTGTGCCAATACATAAAGACACTCGAGGATATGTCCCTTCAGAAAAAAGGCCTGAGAGTATTTCTGAATGTGAAAAAATGCATGGATTGTCTCATTCTGGTAATACACCTGTTTCCTTCCTATAAATTATGTTTAAATGTTCTAAGGCGTTTATACACACACACACACACACACACACACACACACACACACACACACACACACACACACACACACACACACACACACACACACACACACACACACACACACACACACACACACACACACACACACACACACACACACACACACACACACACACTCTATTAGGGCCAAAAGGAGCTCAAACTGCAGCCATTACACGAAGCCCATAAGAACGTGTTTCCAAACAGTAGATAGCCTGCTGCCTCCATGTAATCGTCCTGTCCTGACACTGAATTTGTTCTCACTGAACAAAATAATGGAGACCACTGCACAAGCACTGCAAAAAGCCCTCCTATGACAACTGTCTCCCTCCATCTGTAACAGAAGGCTTGAGTCAAGGCATCCACTTGGAATGTATAGATAGAAAAATTTCTCAGGAGGCAGTCCCATGGTACAATAATGGCACACACCACTAGCTAAATCCATTATAAGAATGCATTAAGTAAATATGTACATCATGTGTTTGCACGCTCAATGCTGCAGTGAAATGCACACAAGTAAAAAGGTGATACCACAGAATTTCAGTATTCATTATGTATATCCTATACCCCCCCCCGACAGCTCAGCTTATTTTCCACAGATAACAGAAGAACATCGTAAATGAAGTCGAAAAGCATGCTGTATATCTTGATGTCACAGATGATGTCTGATGTTGGTCTGGATTGTGGAAAAGAATAGGACATGTTCACAAATATAAAATGAACTTTCCCAGTTTAGAGGAGCAGTGCGTGCAAATAGTGGAATTCTGTGGTATTTCTTTTCAAAAACCTGGCTGCAATGGAACTACATCCAGGACCAAGAACAGAGGTGATCACGATAGTGCCAGCACGCATACTGCATCTCTTCAGGAAGCTGCCAGAAGAGACCGTGAGAAAGAAAAAACAAAACTACCATACACTCTAAACTGGTTGCCATCTAATCAAAACAAGAACATCGGATTCAGACAAAATCCCTCAATTATTCTCAGTTTGACTTTCTCAAACGTAAACGTTTTTGTGAAAAAAAATTACAACATAAAAGACGTTAAACATCCAGAATTTGTAGCTTAACGAATACGGCATAAACGTTTTAGCTATTTCCAAATTGAAACTTGTTACATCAGCGATGCTCAGCAAATGAGACATGCATACCACACGCCATTATACCAACATAGCCCACACGTTCTGTACATACCATAGATGTGAAAACAAACTCACACTCACATTCAAACAGAGCTGAATACAACACAGCCATACTCTGGTAAGGCAAATCTGAACAGGGCAAGCTGTGATGAGTATTGTTGCGTAGCTACAGTATCAGGCAGCTATCTGGCATTAATTAACCCTTAAGTACATAGTGTTTCAGAGGGGAGACAAATAGTGTTACACTGATTTCCAACAGGCAATATTATGAGAAATACCTGTCAGCTTACAAAACAAAAAATAAACCTCTCCCAAAAGCTAGCTCTTACACAGACACATAAATAAAATGTGAGTCTTGGCATCAACTTAACTCAATTGAAACAAAAAAAGTGGGATGTCTAAATATTTTTTGTAAATATTGAAATGTACAAAAAAGGTTATAAGCTGCAAAAAATAAAAATCATTGATTTTGTGGGGGGGTGGGGGGAGGACATGGTGAGAGGGTGACCTTTTGTTCCTTCAGATTATGTCTTTTGCTATAAAACATACCACCCCGAATAAACTTGACCCCACATCACAAATATAGTGCACTGTTCAGCTTGTAACAAAGTTTGGCCGACTCTATGAAAGATAAGGGGTAGTTGTTGTTGTTGTTGTTGTTTTTATGTCCCTTCCTCTGGTGTCCAGGTTCCACTGAGGATAGAGGATAGCAGGCACCAGTGGTTTGGGAAACAGCAAAACCTCCGTTAGTCTTGTCGCGCCTCTCCTCAAACGTCTTCCCTTGTTTGTTGTCAAGTCGGGTCTGCGCGTTGTATGTCCAGTCTCTGGAGAAACAAATGCTGTCCCCTTTCTCACAGATAAGCAAATGCACAAAACACACACACTCACAGACACGCTGTATGTTACAAAATAACACATTTGTCTTTTTCCTTCGATTCTTTCTTGGCTTTGCGCTCCCCGCTGGAGGAGTGTTTTCCCGGGCTGGGGGTGGCTCTGGCTGCTGCCGTCCCAGCGCCGGCCGCTGCTCCACCTGCTCCTGCACCTCCTCTGTCCGCCTCATCTCCCTCGGCAGGCTCCTGCTGGCCCCCCTGCTGCACAAACAGGACCCAACAGCAAAACAGTATAAATTCATAGATATGTGTATATTACAAGCAAAGCTATTTATTGCTCTGAACTGGATAAGCAAAATCTTAATGCCTGGATAAATGGTGGCACATAGTGTGGGATTAGGAAAAAATAGCATATACTAAGACTAAGTGTTTATGAAGAAGTCTGGAAACCATTCAATTATTATTTAAAATACGGTGACATTCTCCTCATAAATATTGTGTCATGTTTGAATGTAAATGTAATAGCATACCTTATAAGATATAATATAACCTTATAAGAGGTGAAAGACAGGGTCTGTTAAGTATTTATATGACTTTATTCTTTTAAATGTTGTCAATGTTGCTGACAATGCTTTTAAAAAAAAAAAAGAGTAAGAAAAGAAAGTGAGTTTTTTTGTTTTGTTTCTTCTTTTTTTTTCAACATTCTTATTTTTATACGCTGTTCAGAAATACATGATGGAAAAAGGCATGCAGAAGAATAAAAAGTAATAGCCCCCATGCTCTTGTCTAGTCTGTGTGTGTGGGAGCGAGGCAGCAAGCTCTGTGTCTGGACCACTCTGGCCAACCAATGAGAAGACAATTGGGAAACCGGTAAAATGTTGGAAAAATTGATTAAAAAGATGCTTAAAAAAAAACAGGACAGAAAAGACAGCTCTATCAGAGAAGCTAACATGACCCAAAAGCTTCTTTAAAAAGGTGCAATGAAACATCAGTTCTGATTATGTAATTTATAATCAACATACTGCGTATTGCACATATCTGCAACAAGGAGGTGTAATCACTGTCCCAAGCAGTTCCAGGGACAATGCCTGTGCCTTGATCTCACAGTGAAGGCTGGCAGCAGTATAAGAAAAAAAGAATGCTAATGTCGCTTTTTCATCCTTAATTTCTTCTTTACAGCTCAAACTCTCTGATACAGACATCCATCTGTTTCTAAAAGGCAATGTCTTCCCTCCATGCTACATTAAATGCCCCAGATTTGTTCAAAGTCCTACTCCCCCTCCCTCTCCCACCTGCTTCTATCTCCCTCGACCCCTCCCTCCCCACCTGTGCCGCCGCTGCTGCTGCTGCTGCTGCAGCTGCCGCCTGCTCCTGCTCTTGCTCCTGGTAGTACTGGGAGGCTCGTCGGTCCTCCTCCTCCTGAAGCTTTTTCGCCAGCTCTAGGTCACTGATGCCCTCGGGGAGTTGCTCCCACTGTAGGTCCTGGCTTTGCTGCTCCTGCTGCAGTGACAACGCCATCAGATAGTCCTGACACACATGAGCATGCACAAAGAGAGAGAAAGACTTGATGATTTGTGAGTAAAGCTGTCATTGTGATGCTTAAGTGTATATATCTAGTGCTACAGCTGAACTTGGTTGTCCCTCAGGCTATACTGCACACAGACCAATCCACACGCAAGCACAGCCGCAATCCACAACCACAGTTCCTGACTTGTTAGCTGAGCCATTTGCGTCTGTCTTCATTAATTTTAATTTCTTCTTTATATCTTTTGTAGTAATTAGTTGTGGCACAGTTAACAAAACAGGTGTTATCCATTGTAATATATTCAGTATTTTCTATTATGTTACATCCTTTGTCACAGCAAATTAAAATTTTTTTCCCAATCTAAGTGAACAGATTTTTCTTGTAGATAAGGAGGGCTGGGCCTGTGTGAGAAGGGAGAATAAAAAGTAATAGCCCCCATGCTCTTGTCTGGTTTGTGTGTGTGGGAGCAAGGTAGACAGTTTATAAGCGAGCGCTGTGTCTGGACCACTCTGGCCAAGAGGACAGATGTGAAACCAGTAAAATTGACGGGATACATAAAGCCATTGATAGGGACCAGTGTGGAGACAATGTGGTACAGCAAAGCATGGATGAGAACGAAGGGGGGGTACCTTTCCAGGTGCTTTTCAGATTTTTTTCAGATCAGGATTATAACACATCTTTTATTGAGGAATTATTTTCATTTTTATAAAGCCTGAGATGGTACATGGTTGACTTTTCTCTAATGTTTCCAGGGATTTGATGTCATGTGTTTGGTTTCTTTTTGACTCTTATGACTTTTGGTGTTCTACTGATTGTGTGAATAGCATGTCATGATTAAGCACATGCTGGTTTTGGAGTGGACAATTGCTGGTTCTGCTAGTCTTGCCTGCATCAGTGCTCAGACCTGGTCTATCTGATCCTGCTGGCCTCGGTACACAGTCTCTGGATCGGAAGGAGGCCGCAACCGGAAGTCAGAATCACAGAAGTTGCCGTCCCCGTCAACGTTGTGCAGACTCTCCCAGACGACCTTCTCCTCTGTCAGGAAACCTTGGTCTGTGACCAGGAGGTACAGCTGGCCCTAGAAAACAACCACACACACATTACATCCACATCTTATCTGTGCTGCAATACAGACCAACATGGCCGCATGTTTTCGACTGTTAGTACACAACCGGTTTATGGTTGTTTAGCATGTGCGACTACTTCCATGTAACAGTCTGCAGCTTAGAACTTCTGTCATAATGTTTTGTCTGAGGGTTGTAGGTGATCCACACAGCTTTGCTTACATTGGCAACTGAGGAGTAGTATGCTTACTTTGAAAGAAAGCAGGCTCCACTTCCCCTCCTGTAGATAACAGGAAAGGTCTTTTGGAGCTGCAGTGATACAGCGAGCCAGCTGTGGGCAGGGGCTGTTAGAGATGGGTTGCAGACGTGTGTGTACTCACTGGGACCTCTTATAGGCACATTAGTGATTAGTCTAAGATTGTACATCTGTCATACAGAAACACCTAGCTTTCATCAGTTTGAAGAACATGTTATGGCAGGTCTGTGAAGTGAACACTTTGGGAAAATACAGAGGAGATTTAGCAGACTAGAGAGAGGAACAGAAGAATTTTGCTAACAGGTAAATGGTAACACTTATACACTGATAACTAGTTCTTAACCTACTGAAAATAATAATTACACTCGTTGCCTATAGCCCACAGAGAAGCATTTAATTAAAGCAAGTTTATTATGTTTACTTCACAGAAAGACATAGGGAAGTCTTTTTAAGATCGCTAAAGGTATTTTTATCTGTCTGAACATTAGCAATGAAACAAAAAAGATATCTACTTTTATGTGGTGAGAAACACCCAATAAAATATTACATACAAATACACAGTGTCCTGTAAAAGTACAAGGCCTCAAGATGCCTGACACTGACTGGATGGACAGTTCATAGCACATCCTGACTTATTTAAGTTTCTGCTATTTCTAAAGTAAGTGCCACACATGATTCTCAATCTGACTCATACAAAAAAATAAAATAAAACAGTGAAGGTGTTGTCACAGCTTTTTTTTTTAAATTTACCTTATATTTGATCATGGTGCTGAAGTGGTTATTCCTGAAAAAGACACAGAGCTCTCCCTCTTGTACGGTGGATGTGAGCTCACATAAGCCGTGGTATGTCAGCTGGGTGGCTGTGCTGCTCAGAAACTGCTCTGCCACGATGCCTAGGTCGAGAGAAGGGTGGAGGAAGTAACATACAGGAAAACAAAGAGAAGAGAGACTGAATTTGTGATTGATCAGTCAAAGAAGAAACATGGGCCCATCATAAGTACTTACTTGAACTTTTTATTGAGTCTTTGTTTATGCTTTTAGCCTATGCATTTTCTAGAAAATACAGACAGATTTTAAATTGAGTGATTTTATGTCCATGTTGCTGATGATGCTTTTATTTCGATAAACTTCAGCTGTCACTTAATAATCAGTTATTTAGTTCAGTAAGGCTCAGGCATAGCTGGAATTTGTTACTGAATTCTTTTTGATTTACAAATATTTTAATCAGTAGACCACAGACCACTGGATGAGTCATCTGCACTACAATCAACAACCAAGCTTGTCCTTACTCATTCATGAACATAGGTCACTCTTTGGAAAGCATGTTGGAAACCCTGCTGTAGCAGCTATTTGAACCTTCTGCCTCTGTACTGCTGGAACTGGCTGAAGTTACTTTAGTGAACTCAATATAGGCTGAGAGGCAGATGGTGAGAGACATCTGTAAGACAGAGCAGCATTCAATTTGGAGCAAACAGCCACAAACTCAGTGTGATACTCAAACAGCCCGAGAGGCAGTCGAGCCTAGAAGGAGCCTCGACTTTTAGAGAAAATGCAGCTAACTATTGACTACTTCCTGTTAAAACACAGTAAAGCATGACAACAAAACTGAAGAGATGTTTAGATTTCTCAGAGTTAAAACAGTCCATTTAAAGTGGTTACAAATTCATCTCTTCAAGCAGTGATGGGCAGCATCAGCATCAAACCACTTAAATCCACAAGGAACTTGTATGCTACAAATGCAGAAATACAAGAGGAGTGAACCTCCCGTATCAATATCATCATTGACTGAGGGCTTGATGTGTTGACTTGGCAGCAGCCCAATAGACAATTACTCAGGAAGCTCAGTGTTGAATGAGCAAATATTTTTAGTGGAGATATTACTGACAGCTGGTAAGAAAACTGAGCTGTGTGGAAGTAGGTCATTTGATGAGTAGCCACATGTATGTCCTGGTTTTATTTGAGCTCGGCCTGTGGTTTTGTGCAGAATGTGTTGTGCACTTGACAGTCATGTAAACACATTGCATGTAATGAATTGACCCCAAAACCCAGAAGTGAAGAAGCCTCTCGGATGAGAGGCGAAACGTCTTTCGAGTATCGTCAATCCAGTACAGTTGCCCTTGATTTTAACCTTCCTTGGATGTAATGAATATGCCACTGAATTATTGTTGCACTTGTGCCGAAACAAAGAAGATGGTGGTATGTACAAAGAGATGAGGATGAGACAGGAGGGGAGTCAAGGCAGGTCAGAAAGTAGCGAGTGAAGGGAAAACACTCACCTTCTCCTGCCAGTTCGCTGTTGTCGGACTGTTTGCAGGATATTATCTTCTCTACCAGCTGGTTGTAGCTGCAGTTGCCTACTGCCTTGACAATGTCATGCATCTGCAAACAAAGATAAAAACTGTGGGAAAGAACATTCACCAAGCTTTGCTACTGTTTTACTAAGAGGCACAGTAGATTTATAATTTATAACACAGGGTTCACACTGGAACTACTATCGCTGTGTAAACTTGATTCCTTTTTGGCACTGTACTCTGGTACATTTACGCATTAATTACCGTTATTTGGGGTGGTGTGAATGCTGTCATTTAAACACCTAAAAAGGAGGTGGTCTGCTTCCAAGAGAACTCTGGAGCGGTTAGTTTGTGGTGGGAACGCAAACTGGACCAAGCACAGGACTGTGTAGTCATAGTTGTTATTAGTATGAATATTAAGGCAGTTAAGTAAGCATTATGTAAATTCTGTTTTACATAACCTACTATATCCAGCACATATGGTATAAGATGGCAGGTTTTCGTCCTGTTTCTATATGTCCGTTTCAAACAAAAGACACATGAGGTTAAGCTTCAATCATGACTAATAATGCTCATAACCATCTATTTATTCCTGAGCTCTAGAGAAGATAAATGCACCATAAGGTGCAACAAAGCTTAGTAAAGCTCACATACCAGAATAAACTGTGTTCATATATTGCTGATGATGAAGGATAACAAACTTTTCTAAGAAAGAGTTTCCTGTCATGATAAGTTAATACAAAACAGACAAAAAACTAGATGGCAACAGTGAACTGAACTACAGGTGTGAAAGCAAACCCAGACAAATGGCAAGAACTAGCAGGTAGAATATCTTAACATTTGTAGTGAATGACAGAGCAGGAACAGTAAGACACGTTGGGTTTCAGGAAGGCATAGAGAAACAGCATTGATGAGTCAGGTCCATCTCACCTGGGGGTCAACCAGCCATCCATGGTAGAGAGGGATGTCCAGCAGATCAAACACAATGCATTCTGGGGTGTACTCGAAGACGCGCACCCCTGTGAACTTCACGTTCACATCCAGACCTGTCTGCAGCTTGTGCAGCACTGCCATGGCATCACTCATGTTCTGGGAAACAAGGAGAACAATGGGTCCGATTTAAAAAAAAAAGAGACTTATTTGCATGTGTATTGTAAACATTATACAGAACCAAAAGCTGTGTCCAATCCAGCTGTTTTCATGCACTGTAAGCGGTCGTTATCGGTTCCATTCTTCCTGGTTGTCTACACACAGTCAGCACAGCTCGAGCTCTCAGGGATTGATTTTTCTATGTTAACGAGAAACCATTAGCTGCCATTTATTCTTATACAATGCAAAAAAACTGCACAAACTCACGTCTTCAATTGGTTTTGTCAAATATGCCTGCTTTATAGTTACATCACTGTGACAAAGTTGAGTGTTTCATATTTACTGCACTTATTGGGTTCTGCTCTGTGTATTGTCAATCAAGCTACAACCACAGGAAGAGATGGAAGTCTCTGCCAGGAAACCATTTCATATTAAATGTCTGTGGAAGCTCTCAGGCCCGTCATTGTGAGACATGATATTTCCCTTTAATAATACTACCAAGGGGTGGACAAAATATGAGGAACACTTGACAATATAATGCAGTCCAATAGGCCTGCAATTAACACTACCTTTGTTTGATTTTCTTGCCTTTACTTTTGATAGTGAACAGTTGAGACATGACAAAAAATGAGGGGTGAGGAAGAGGAAAGATGACATGCAACACAATGGTCATTAATTAAGGCTTCAGCTGCAAAATAACACAAATATCCCATGAACACCCAGCTCTTTCTGTAAATGTGCAGTCATGTCTGAATGTAGCCGACCACTAACTTAAAAATCACCCATGTCTGAATGACAAAATCATCACTTTAACAGATAGATGAAGTTAGCATTGTATTCAGTGCATGAAAAGGGCTCATAAAACACAACAGGACTCAAACAGGGAACGTTTTCACTACATGGTCAGCAACCTAAACCCTCGAGCCCACTAGACCCTAAAATGTTCAAATTTTCAGTACAGTCATGTCAGACTGATAATTCGATTCTGTGGCCATTTTAAGGATCTAGCCTGTTAACTTAGATTGTATTATATTGTAAGTTGTTCCACAGAAATCAGTGTCCATTATATATTCTCACGGCTCACTCATTAAGTTATAGAATTATTCCATATTGTAACAAACCAGTACAGAGTTCACTTACACCTCTAGTGAAGGCCATCATTATTTAATGAGGTCAGTGGACCTTCCCAACAGAACAATTATTAATTCACATAAAATGAGTAACACATTTTGTTCACTTTTTTTTGGTAAGTTGAAATGAGTCACTACAGTAGAAGGTACCAAGAGGAAAACACAAAAATCTTGATAAAGCAAAGGCCATCAGAATCTATAGCATTGCCGCATCATGCTATGTACTGGATAGTGGACATTTAAATGTAGGCAAAAATCAAGTTTCCACCAGGGAAGTAACGCCACACAAAACAAAGTCTGAAGGCATAAAGATACATTTACTGAGTAAAAACCTAGAACCCCTTCAAACCCAGAACACAAAGCAGCAGCCTGGTCAAAATAGTCTTCAAATAATTTTCTGTTTCTCAATGGACACGTTTGTAAATATGTTTTAATGTTATGACATGTTTCATCGAAAGAAAACTGTAGAACTGTAGAAAGCCATAGAAAACTGTGTGCTTGCTTTGTTAATGTTACTCAGACACTGAGTAGTATTGCTTCACCTTGCCTCACTCCTCTTTTGCCTTCAGCAGTCCGTAAGAATTCTTTCTAGATCTGTGCAGCCAATTCCATAACACCTCTTTTCCATCTCACCGGTGTTTGTGTGTTTCACACAAGGGAATGCACAGTGGCAGATGCTGACTGTTGCAATTGTGATTTCTCTAAAACATAATACAACTAACGGCATCAGTTGTACCAAAGGCTGGGTGATTACAAGATTCATTAAAATAAATCAACCACTAGGTTCCTGTAGGTTTTAACTGGATTGCTTTTAATTGGATTAGTCTTCTCTTCTTCATGTGGCCCAAAAAGAAACGAGTAAAATACCATTCCATGCTGCTTTTTGCTCTTTACACTGATAAGAAAGGTATCAGAGGTAGTAAAATCAGATCCAGGCAAAATTCAGCTGGACATTAATTGTAAAGTTGGTGGTTTGATCTTTTTCTGTCCACATGTTTCCAATGTGTGTGGTGTATGAGACTGATTGTATTGGTCAAATGTGAAAATGACATAAAAAATATTTTTTAGTTTATATGTAACATATGTAATAAATATCAGCACACTTTGCTTTCTCACAATTTTAAAGAAATAGAGTGCTTTTGCACTTTGCTTAGCAAATTTATTTATTCTGTTATTAATGTGCTTGCATACATGTTGCTGGATGCATTGTTCTAAAAGTCAAACGGTTTGAAGAGGAAAAGGTTATAAAGGCTGGCATAAACATAAATATGAAGAAAGATGAGAATGAACTGTCTCCACTATGACTAGCATTCATCCTTTAATACATATATACACATACATCACATCATGTATGCCATATGTCAAATGAATTCACCCACACACCTGCGAACCAAAACAGACAAATTTTTGCATTCAGCCTCAGACCAAATGTTTCCCAGCTGGCTCTAAACCTCTGCTGCCATTTCACTCTGAGATCAAGATAAGCCTTGCAGCTGAGCCCTATATCTCTATTACGGGTGATTTCCATTTAATTTGAACTCTTTCACGGTAGAGATACAAGAAAAATTACAGAGAGCAAAGCCAATTATTTTACACATACCAGAACAATAAACCTGAGTGTACAAACAGCAGTTCTACTTTGCAGGGCTGGATGATAATTTGATTTCACTGTTCATCAACTTTCAGCGGTATCATATTAAAGTGTTGTAACCATATCGTTTCATCATTTTAATTCTGCTGTCCAAAATAAGAATTCCAAGCATAATGTAAATAAAACCTCACAGAATGACACACACAACACTTCAGTTAGGTTACTTCATAAGTGGAATACCTTCAAATATTCTGAATTTCATTATTTTTTCATGATATTCATTTCCACCACAGTATATGCAGCTCGCTTTGACACACTAATGGCTGCAAATGTCACACAATCAGTTGTTAGATTTTTAACAGTGTGGTGTGCCGACTCTATTTTTAAGTTTACAGTAGAGATTCTGTATGCCCCATGAGTGCTGAGCTACTCCAGCTTCGCGGGAGCAGGCGCAGAGAGCTGAGGTGAAAAGCCTTCAGCTGGCCCATCAGAGCATGTGGATTAGGACGCTTATGAGCAGCAGTGATGGCAGGATTATCAGGGCTGGGTAATGGACCACATCGCTTCACTTTAGGGCAGACGGCTCAAACAGCAGATGAGCGCTTGAAGAGATGATTAGCACTGCATCACTCACATTCATCTGTGTTTGTGTTCGGTGCATTTCCACCGTGTTACATTAGCACAATACTCTGCTGAGACTTTTCCATATTTTTACTTTGACTCCTCAACTGTCTATTAAGAGAAGCTCACTCTGCTTCTCTCGCTATTGACTTTTACCATAAATTTTACCTAAAAACAAAATCTTAAGTAGATGTAATTAACTGGCAGTTAACAGAATATCTGGCATTATAAGGCCAAGATGAGGGATTTGGTTCTCGCAAAGCTTTTATTTCTTAACAGAGTCCCAATTTATAATGCATGTGTAGCAATTAAAACATGCAGCAGAGAACTCAAACTACAATAAAGTTTTACTCCATGGGCAATTACATAACACAAAGTTGCTTCGCCTCTGAATACTGGAGAATGAGCCGTTATCCCCTATGTTGCATTTTGAGTTTAAAAAATATTGAAACCAGATCTATGAACCCTAAAAAACAACATATTAATCATTGGAGGACAATAGTAATATATTAAATAATACCATGACCCATCAGTGGGAGCAGTGTCTCATAATGTAGATCATATCTTTTATGAACCCTGGCACACAGTAGCAGCTGCTGATACCTTATGTTTCTAGTGTTTGTCAGCCCCCATTTACATACATAAGTGCACCAAACACCTCTCAATATAATGTAATCCAGCAACACCGCTAACTACAGATGAACCCACGCCTTTCTGAACGTGAAGCTTCATACAGATTTTAATTTTTTTTTTGCATTGCAACTATTGTAATGAATTAGATGTACATGACGTGCACCTAACAAGCTGATAACCCTGTGTAAAGCTTAATCTCTGATCTTATAATTACATGGAACCCGCTTGAATTAAAGCTGTGACTTTAAGTGACTTTCTAACACGGTGATAGTCTCTCCAGTTATGAGCTTTTATGATTGTAACTTTTTTTAAAAACACTTCTTTGTCTTTCTTTGACGTCACCATCAGCAATTTCTCATCATGTTTTCGTCTCTCTCAGTTGATATCTCTGCTTAGTCACTGAGAAATAGATTTACAGTGAGAGGGCCTTTCATTTGATTACCAGGGTGTCTACCTAACAGATATGGATGAAACATGTGCATTCATTCATCATCAAACAGGCTAGGGTTATGGTGCTTTTCGAAACCCACGTTGGGATTTTATCTGCTTTGCTTAGAGCAAAAGAAAGGTTTAAGAAACATTTTTGAACAATGGCCATCACTGTGAATGACACCAAATTAAAAGAAAAGAGGCTTCTTGAACATGACAACTCATTTCCTCCAGTGGCTGAACAGTCATCATGGATGAATTGTCTCGTAAGAGTGCTGTTGAGCGGAGTCTGCTGTGACAAAAGCAGAGCAAAGCTATACCCTCACTTCCACAGCTCCTCTGAGTAAATATTTAACAATACCTAAAGAGCAGCCATGCAACTGCTATTTTAATCCTTATACACTCCTGTGACAGATGATGTCTTTTAAGCTGAATTTATAAATAGAACCACTTCTGTTGTGAACTCATGCAGCTCTTTTCAAAGTCAAGGTGGCTACCGTTGTATTTTATAGCAACTTAATAAGCAATGAAAACACATCTCTCCACGATATAAAGAAGGGGACACCTTTTGTTTGACATGCACATAAACACTTTTCCGACTTGCTCTCTTTTAGATCCCAGCTTCCAGCATTGCGGAGCCCTGCCCACTGTAGTCTTCATATACTGTGTCAACCACAACACACATGAGGACATGAGGACACCCACATGCAAAAGAGCTCCCATGGCAGTGTCTAGGATTAGACTGCCATAATAACTATGCAACACAAACTCTAACCACTCCCTTACTTTAACTGTGCATACTGAGGACACCACTGATTTATTTAAGAGGTTGTATTTCAGCTCAACTTAAATTTAGAAAGACCGTTGCAGTTGAGTTTCTATGAGGAAGCTCCACATAATTCCTTCTCCTCTCAGAATGAGGGACAAGTGTGGCTTCAAATCATTCACAGATGTGCTGGTGCTCTGCCACGCAAGAGCAGGAGAGGCAGGGCCTCTACCGCACCGTAGGCAGGCAGTGGAGATGGGAGGAAGCAGGGGAGCTTGAGCTCCATCTCCAAGTGCCTCTCCTAGTGAGACACACACACACACACAGTCTCAGTAATAGCCGGGAGCTGAACCCAGCCATGCGTCTCTAAGCATTCACAGTCATGTGAAACAACATAATCTGACACTCTTGACCCCTGTTGTTCCCTGGGCCTTGCAAGACACATCTTATGTAACCTATACAGCAGAGGGAAAAAAAGCTAAGCTGCAGTCTTTTTTATGTGGTTTGCAATCAACTCGATGCTTATTTCCATATTACGGAATGTCTGCTGACTTTATCTACTAGCTCAATGCAAATGTGCAAACCTACTGTAAGCACCAGATATACTTATTGTATGTGTGCCACATAAGAGCAGTGTGCACACTACTTTGTATTAGAGTTGCAATGATATGAGATTTTCACGGTACGATAATCGTCTCAGAAAGTATCATGCTTTCACTGTATCATTTTATACAGTATTACACAATTATTATTATTATTTCAGTTACAATGACCCTTAAAGGAATAAAAATTGAAGGGTTTTCAGAATTTCCCAAAATTGTATGTATAAATAAATGTATAATACTAATACAGTAGCATACAATACTATAGACAAGCAAATGTACATGGTATAAAAACGGTCAATTTTCATACCACAGTACACCGTGAAACCAGTACACCGTCGCATACCTACTTTGTATGCTGTGGCAAAAGTATATCAATAATGGCGATGAGAACAGTGTAAATATTTTGAGTGTGTCAATGAGACAAAGTGAGCTCGTCTTAAACTCGCGCAATTATGATTTCGACAGAGAGGAGAGGGAGAAGAGAGACAACGAGTGAGTTCATCCCAAAAGCCCTGCGCTCCTCAGGTACCATGAACAGTCAGCAGCTTTCCAATGCACACACATAAGCAAAAACACATGTCTGTGTAATAATAATATTCCACAGTGGTTAGGCAGGCCTTACCTGCTCATAGTTTAGCCGCTGAGCTTCTGATATCTCTTTAGGCTTGGTTTCCAGAATGTAGTCTCCTGCAGAGTGACAGAAGGAGAGATGTATTATATTGTATTGACAGAGAAACAATCACTACCTCGATTGACACTGATTATCACAATGGCTCAATGGCTTAAGCGTTTGTATAGAAGGTGACAGATGTTTCGAGATGTTTCAAATAGCCATTGGGGCTGGCTGTTTCCCAAGAAAAGGCTGGATCAGTCAAGACAAAATCCAGACTTTACACTACATTAGGGGTTAGGTGGTTATTTTTCAAGGCACGCCAAACACACATCTGATGGCGACACCTCAAGCCACAAGTTTGTTTTGTTGTGGTTTGTTTAGCTTTTCTTGTTGTGAAAAGTACATTGCTTATACAAGTCTCTAGTTCTGTATGTTTTTAGAAACAAGTATTTCACATGAATAGAATAGCAAAGGAAGTTATGCAAATATATTCTTGTTATTGGTGGTAAAAATTGTTGCAGTCTACGCCTTGCTTTTAAAACTCTTGTGTAAGTATTTTTCAAAATGCTTCATAGAGAATCATTAATTTATTAGGAACTGGCAAGAGTATCACGCCGCACTGTCAACACATACTTTTCCTGAGAGTTACTCAGAGGAATGCCATCGACCTCTTGTCATCAGCAGTTACATTAAATAAAAACAGCTACACATGCAAAAAAAAAAAAAAAAACCACACTTTCATATGCATTTTGCTCAAGCGAATAGAATGAATGGAGTGTATCCAGGAAAAAAAAAACTTTTAATGTTTTTTTTTAAGATTATAACTGTAATGACTAACCTATTCCATGCAAGGAGAAATGACTGTCCAATTCTGAACTAGCTCATCTATGCATAAAATACAGTTAATATTATCATGTGGTCAAAGTTTTGTTTGATTCTCTTAATTAGCACGCATATGTACGCTTTATGAACAAAGCTAAACTCAAGTGATGCACCAGTCAGGCTCATAGACTTTTGTGCTTTTGGACTCAACAACAGAGGAGCTGGTGGTTGCAGTTTTAAAAACTCTTCTGACTTGATTTCTATGCTGTCACAGTACATTTTTTTCCAGCAGCAGGCCAGCCAGTGAGCGGTTTTACTACAGTATGTCTACGACAGGGAAAACCCCTCACTGCTCTGTACTCCAGACAGTGAACTATGGACTCACTCATCCCTGGCCCTCCCTTTATATCTGTCTCTGTCTGTCTCTATGGGGCTGGATCACTCTCACACTACACCACATACTGCTGAGTAACGATCACCACCCACTTTAAAACACCACATCTGAACTTCACCTCCCATCGCCACCCTTGTTGTTGGTGTGTGTACTACGACAAACAGCGCTGAGTTCAGAGGTTATTCAGCAGTCATACAACATTATACAAGATTAACTTTGTGTGCTGTAATTACACACAAGCACAACGTGAAGTCATCCTCCCCAATACCACACAAATGGGCACTTTTGGAGAAAAGAAAATGCACATAGTGATGATACGGAGAATTTCCTTCATTATTTAACTGTCCTTTAAAGAGACGAGAGCATCGTTTGAGCTACAGAAGCCGACAGACACAAACAAGTTTAACGCTCACAAGTAAGGGGGGAAAGTCTTCCATAAAGGTATTCACATATAATGCTGTGATGTGGATTACGTGAGACTACTCATGCATGCGGATACTGATAGAGCGGAGACTAGACACTAGAGAGTACAGGCTCTACTTCTGAAGGCCCCTTGCTGTAATCAGACACTCTACTTTGATAGTGTAGAGTCATTTTAGTTATGAAGGGCAGGAGACAGCCAGAGTGAATAGATAGCTCCTGTTTCCATTGCTCATGGGGGATTTCCCTGTTCTGGTCTCTTCCCCTGTTGACTCTGGAATATATATCTGACCTTAAGAATGTAACCACTCATTTGAGAGAACTTGAAACACAAGGATGTTTACTAGGCTGTTGAATCCCAGTGCCAGTAGGTTTACGGGCTAGTTTGTTAGTGTGGACTCACGGGACAACACTTACTCAAGTTGGTATGACTCTGTAAAAGCCGTAAAACTATTGTTATCGTAGTAAGATATTTTATGAATGTTTTATCTTCTGCAAGTTACAAAACGGGTTAATATTGCCAAGCAGAAGAGGGGCAGATTCAGTATGGTAACATAATATGTGGCATTGCTCTTGTGTAACAGGTTTAATAGCTACCAACACTCACCAAGGTACTCCATCAGCTGCTCAGCAGTTATAATTTCCATCATAGGGGGCATCTTAACCTGCAAAACAGACACATGCACACCCATTGTTTATTTATTAATTACCCATTTATCACACAAAGCACTGCATCACAAGTTAACCAGACACAGGACATAACTATTTACTAAAGGGACCCATATGCTACAGTTTGTAAAACCCTTTACAGCCCCTGTCAGCATTCAACATGAACTGACATGTAGAAATAAACACATATCTAATGCTACAATTGAGAAATCATACATGAACATGTCTTGACAGAAATGTATTTTATAACAGGAAATGCTGAGGGAGAGAGGCACCACTAGGTCTTAGTGACAGGTCTGGTGTTAGATGTTAACCATTAGCAACTCTAAATGTTATGTAATGACATAAAAGAACTGCTGATGGAGCTCAGCGCATCCTTATAAAACATGCCTAACGTTATTTGTATGGAGTTATCGATTCCTACGTAGAATCGATTTCCTGCTGATCTATGCTCATCGCAGGGATTTTACCTTCCATGCAAGCAGAAGGACATTCATAATTGCCAATAATGGACAGGGGCCGTTCTCGTTCTGAGTGATGATCGGCGTGTTCTCCTCCCTCCACTTGATCCACTTAATGTGGTATATGGACTGGCCGGCGACCCGGTCCTTAGCGCACGCAGTCTTTGTCCCATCAGCCCCGTACTCGTTTTGAAGGGCCAGGGCCAGTCCTCTGTCCTCCAGTCCATCACTGTTGAGGTCGGAGCTGGGGCAGGAGTTGAGGTTGGAGAAGGACTCGAGTGAATCTATGCTTCGGGACTCTCCAGCGAGGCTGGGATCGGGGTCACTCCCACTCGGCAATCCCTCCGATAAGGTGTGATCACCGGACAGCGCCAACTTGACGTTTACCGTGATTGCATTGTCCGGACACAGTTGAGTCGGTTTTGCAAGTTTTGTCGGTTCACTTTCTCCACGAGCCGTAAACTCAGCCCGCGCATCTGTGCTCTCCTTAGCGGGAGGTGAGCACGGCCCGTCGGGTTTGTTGTTTACTAACTTTGAGGCACCACCCTCGCTATCTTCTGCAGCCAGCGCCGATTCATGCCCCATCCCGTTACTGATCTGATCCCCGGACCCCGACCCACTCGCCTCGGTGTCCTTCTTCTTAACCTCCTGCACGGGGAGGACTTCGATCACTTCGGTCACGTCAGACTTCCCAGCAGTGGAAATGACATTAACGGCGCACGGAGCACCAACATTTGTGGTGCTGTTAGTACAACCAATGTTAACCAAAGTACTGAGAGAAGCCTCACTATTCTTGCATTTCTCGGCTGTTCCTTTCACTCCGCCGACAGCCGTAACATCGCTCATCTCCTCCGCGATCGTGGCACACAAAGAGCTCCCGTCAGTGTCTCGATGCAGGGTTGCATTTTTCTCCATTTCGATGTACAGACTGTCGACAGATTTTAGCTAAATTGCAGCAGCAGCTTCGGTCCCAAAGACGCCATGACAACTCTGCGAGTGACGTCATCAGAGTGAAGCGCTTTCAGGCCGAGCAAGGGGGCGGTAGAAAACCACCGGCCAGGCAGTGTTGCGTTTAGGTGGGCTCGTATTTTTTATGGTCTAAAGTTTATCACTCCTTCACGTGTTTTAATCCGACGGTGGCCATTTAATTTATTCATGGACACCACACTGTCTTTTATTTATATAGCACATTTAAAAACAACAGGTGTTGACCCAAAGTGCTTTCCAAGTACACAATATACACAAATACAAGTATATGTGAATAAAAGGAATAAGGAGTAAGCCTACGAGGTTAAAAACAAAATCAAAGTAGTAAAATTAGAAACTAAAAGAAAATGAATAATAATTAATTAAGAAGAGAGGGCTTGACATAAACCACAAAGTGAAATCAGAATGAACTAAAAGCCAGAGGAATAAAAGGTAGATTAGATTTAAAATTCTCAATGGTGTGACCAGACTAAGGCGTGAGTGGGGTACTGAGAGGAGTTGTGAGGATGACCTAAGCGACCTAGGAGCAGAATATGGAATCAGCATCACTAATCAGTAATGTATTGTGGAGCTAATCCATTGAGGGCTTCAAAATTGCAAAAGTACGGTTCAGGCTGTTTTTTGTCTTTTAAGCATAATAATCGCCTACGTTCTCAGGAAAGTGGCAAAATATAAAACTCAGGAAACTCATGTTGTTTATTCTTATGCGCTATGAGTCCTTTTAAAAACTCAACATACATACACCCCAGACTATAATTATATACAAACTACAAATAGGCGTGATAAGAGTGACTGTATAGCATACACGCTATCAAAATCAGAAAAGCTTCATTGCCAAGTAGTTTTTACACATGAGGAATTTGTTTTGGAGATAAGGTGCTACATGTAGACAAACATACAGTTGACATGAATAAATTTAGAAATATATAAATATGGGATAGTAATAGAATAACGATTAACACGAACAACAGATGTGTGTAATATACCGGGTATGTGCAATGATGTGAAATGATACAAGATTTACATGTGCAAAGATATACAGTATTTTAGAGGGAAGAGGGGAGTGTCAGTGAGGGACCCGGGCCTTGTTAATGAGACTAGCTGCAAACGTTTAACAAACGTTTAAAAATATTTGTACTGGCTCAAATTTTGTAGGGTGTGTAGCGGGCTCATGAGCGGGCTGCATCTTTAAACCCATGACATATCGAAGTGCCTCCTTGTACGAGGTTTCTTGAATGTAGCACGAACACAACCTGCCGTTGCCGTGACCGTGACCGTCTTGCGGACGAGTTCTCGCGTATTTGTAAAGCCATAAAAACTCTCGCGTGGCCAGGACCTCCATACTACTGTCCGGATAAACGAGACATTGGAAATAATGAGACAGTAAGGAGTGGCTGTGAGTTTAAACCTCACATTAATGGTTTGAAGACTTGAAAACTATAGTCTGTTTTATTTGACTAGTTGGGTGACCCCCCCCCCCCCACCAAATCGTGTTTAATTCAAACGAAACTAATTATTATTATTATAATTAATTGATTATTTAAGTAATGACAGTCTACTGTGTGTTGGCCCTTTTCCAGTCATTTTCTCCAGTCTTCCTTGGGCCTGTTGAGATTGACCTCTGGCTATAAGAGAAAAGCCACATGGCTACCATATTTATTTTATTTTTACTTCTTTATTGCAATTCCAATACAATGACAAATACAGTACAAATATAGACCAGATGTTAAGACATAAACGAAATTAAAATAAAATAAACAATAAAACATAGAATCAGCAGGCAATTAAGAACTTTACATAGCCTTTATCAAGAGCCTTTATTAAGGCTTTGGGGTTTGAAGAGTGCTGAATAGCTTGTATGTATTGTTGCATTTCATTCATAAAAACTTTTAATAAAGCTTTGCGTATCATATAGGCAAACATATAGGCGATTTGATACTGTGTCCAGGCTAAATTATTATTTTGACAGGTCTGATAAATCCACATGCAGTTACTGTTTAGAGTCGCTGGGTGGCAGCAATTACTCGACCGAGCAGAAGAGGGGCGTCACCGCTCGTCTTTGACAGAGCTTCACGTGCAGATTTTTCTATTAGGCTGCATAAAAACACCTCTTCCATCAAACTGTGGGTACCCAAACATACCCTTCACCCTAACACCTATAACCTAAAGTATTTGATTACTAGACACGTTGTTTGAGACAGTTCTAGTGACAGTACAGAGGAAATGCTGCCAAAGAGAAAAGTGCAACTTTCCTGTTTTTAAGTTGTTTCATTTTATTTTTATTTTTATTTAAATAAAGTTAGGTATGACTCCTGACTCTCAATGCCACATGGGAGGCTATATGATCTTGACATCGATTGATCTGATTTTTGTTGAACTGTGCATTATAATAAAGCCTCTTCAGTTAACATGCCCCAATGGAAAAATTAAACTCATTAACTTTTTTGTTGAATCTCAATATGAATGTGATGATTTAATAAAAAAATATTTAAATATATGATTTTAAAACTATTTTTGTACTTTTAAATCTAAGTGGAGAGAGCTCATATAACTTTGATGTAACGTTGTGGTAAACACAGGAAACTAAACCAGGAAATCAGTAGCCCACTCAGTCCTTTTTAACATGTCTGTGATTTTATACTTCCAACTACATGGTATCATGTAAAACTAATAACTGTTATTCCTAGTTCTGCATCCCTTTGCTGTCTTTCTTCTCAGTGCTGTATAGCCTACATAAAGCAGTACTATTACATAAAGCAGAGAGGTCAGTGCTTGAAGTATAATTCATCTGCAGTTCTTCACATTGTATGATGATTAGCTTTTCAAAGCACCACCTTTGCTGTTCTAGCCCATGTTAAACAATGACAGAATCACTACCTTTTAAGCTTGCTGTGACGTTGGTTACTTATTCAATATTCATTGATGATACAGAAACAGAATTGATATCATCTGCATATGGCCAAATGCAACTTAATAAATTGTGTTGTGCACACAAAAGCAATTTTTTAAATCTAACTACTTGATCTTTCTTTTTTGTTACAATAAACCTCACAGGGAAAGGAGGAAATTAAAAATAAAGAGAGAAAAAACTTAGAAGCTCTCCCCATAAACTAGACTACACTTCCTTCAGCAAAAATAAACAAAATAAATAAATAATGTGGAATTGTCACTGATTGTACATTTTGAGGTTCAACGTATTCTATAGATGTATACATTTACATGTATATATATAGCATTTATAGTGTATTTCTCAATATAATTTCCATTTCCATATTATCATGAGTTATTCTGTCTTTTTAGGGTTGTGCCCTTCTGAAAACAGTTGGGAAACCCGGAAGTCATGATTTGGGGAAGTAAACAATTTGCTAACTGATAAAAACAGTACCTGAAAAGCAAGTTTGGAGCATGTTTCCAGGCTGGTAGTTTACGCAGCAATGTTTTGCTTTTGTGTTAAACGGAATGATGATGTTGAGAACATAGACTGTATATGGTTCAGAGGTGATTTGTAGCTGAATCCTTCGACCGGATGGGTGTGTCCAGGCTGTCTTGGCAAAAGACGCCGGAAGGGAGGAGGGCCTGTCTGTCGGTCTATCTGTCTGACGTAAAGTTGCTGGAGAGAGACAGGCAGCGCCGGTGTTTGTGATGGTAGCTAGCTAACTAGGAAGGGCGACTATACCTTTAAGTGAAAGAAAACGAAACAAGAAACAATCAGCGGCATCGCTGCGTCGCTTAGCTAGTTAACAGGGCTCACAGGGACTTTCGATATGATATTTATTAAACTAATTCTCCTGTTTTGCTGCCTACGAGATATTAGAGGTAAGTTTGCCATTGGTTCACAGGGAAAAGGAAAGTGTTCAGTGACCGTCAGTGGGGCTAATGTTAATCGGATCAGGCTGCTGTACACTGGCTATCTAACTTGCTAGCTAGCTTGCTAATGTTAATGGTAACTGTTTGTGACTGATGTCGTGTGTTTACTCAGCGAGCATAGGCCAGGGTAGCCAGCCCGAATTACTTGAGTATCCAGTTTCGGGGATAACAGACTGAGGTTTCGACTCGTAAGTTGTTCAATATAGAAAAACATCCTGTTTTTCACACTTCCTGAGTGGTGAACATAGCAGCGCAAACGTATATAAACCTACAAACAGACAATTTGAAGTCTATTACTAATAGACTCGGAAGTAACAGAGAATTAAGTTCAAAACAACTAGCTTAACGCTAAGTATATGGTAGTTAACTCGTACTAGTACTGTATAGCAAGGTAACGTACTATTATAGATATGATATGGTGGGCTGCTGCAACGTTTGACAGCTCTTACATCTGACAGAAGCAAATCTTTACATTTCTTATTAAATTACTTAGCAGCAGTTAGTCTATAGTAGGTATAGTTTTTAATTATAGTTTCCAGTTTAAACAAACATCGACTGCTGTGTAATTAATTAAACTGCAAATACATAAATTTAACCTCCAGATTAGCATGTCTCCACCTTGACAATTAAAACAAAATGCTTATTGCTGATTTTTTAATACTTTTTTCACATAGGGTTATGCAGGCATGTAAACAATATAGTCATAAGAACGTGATTAATTGCAGCAATTTCTAACCATTATTACTCTGGAGAACAGTGATAACTGAGATGGTTTGCAAAACCAGGACGGAAGCCCACCTACAATTTCTTTAAAATGCTTTTACTTTGTTACCATCAGTGTTTTAACACAGGTACAGAGCTGCAGAGCTGAACTGCTTATTTCATAGCACTTCTCTTCACTTTATTGTATTCATTAAACATTGGTGAATGTAAGCTTGATCACTTTTCATAAAAATGTTCTGAGATGTCAGTTATGTTTTGCACATTGACTTTGTCTGCCAGGAAGATGCTGCTTTTATTGTTGGAGCGTTTGTGTTTAAACTTCACGTGGAATGTCAATCAGATTGATGTGGAATGGAGTGCTCATCATAAAGAATGCGTTGTTTTTTTAACTTAAGCCTAAATTGATGGACGACACTGAAGTTACCTTCTGATTCACAGCTTCCAATCGGCAGGGAAAGTTAAGGGAGACTGAAGTCTAGATTCAGTCAGTCAGACAGTTTCAAATTTGTGAAAGCTTTAGTCTATTTGTGAAAATGAAAAATGGGAGGATTTTTTACATTTAGACCATATAAATCTCCCTTTTTTCATTTTCACAAATAGAATAAAGCTTTCACAAATTTGAAACTGTCACAATTCATGGCTTGTTTCATATTCATGGTGCTTATACTTGCTGCACCAGCCATGATAGAGGCAGAGTGCAGCAACATCATCCCGCACATCAGCAACCATAGTGAGTTCTTCTGCAGTATTGCTCGTTGAGGTGTGTAAGCCGCTTTTCTCTACTTTTACCTTTTACATATTTACGTTCATTGACCAGACAGAAAAATATAAATGCTTCAGCTGCACAAAAGAGCCATGTGCACACAAACAAAAAAGAAGCCGTTTGTATTCTTCTAAGAGATAGGAAAGAAGATAAAAGATGTGAAGATTTGAACCTAAATTGCTACAACAGATGGCAGTTTGCTTCATTCCATTAAACAAGTTGTGGTTAAATGTGGATAGTGAATGTTGTAGTTGTAGGGACCAAACATTTCTGAGGACGTCCGATGTGTTTCGGATAAACTAAGTTATTTAACTTTTGACACAGCAGCTGTTACTTGGCCTGCTTACACTGCCGGTATGTTGCATAGGATTTTCTTGAGCAGTGTAGCAGTTTTGTTTCTTTTCTCAGATTTTGTTATTGTCTGTCCAGAAATGTAAGCTTCTACCTCCTAGAGATAATATCTATTTAGGCCCACATAAGGTAGGATTGTTATGTTACAGTATATTTGTATGCAGTACAACAATAAGAAAGAGGGGTGAATGTGATAGAAATCAAGTCACAAGTATTAGTGATTAACTTTACAACACATTAAAAACTTTTAAATATAAGGCGATTAAATAGAATTTAACCTAAAATGAAATGCACCATATGTAAATTAACAGTTTGCAAAATGAAATGCAATTAAATTTTAAATAAGATTTATTGAAATTATTTCATGAATTGTGATAAGTTTTGAGTTGATATGTTCCTATTGCAGTTAAATTAAATATGAATTCATTACATGATTATTCTACATGGAATGATGCATTTCTTTCAACCAATATGTGTAATTTTGAAACATGTTTCAGACAGTATGACTTTTGTAAGTGATATGATATTTAAGATACATTTTATTCAGTAACATTGTTACTAAGCTTTATATTTTAACAGGCATTCAATCATAACCCTGATAATGGTAGATGAGGTGAATTTGTGATGACTAACAAAAACTGTGAATTTAAGGTGGCCATTTTAAGTTTGGGGGCTGCAGATGAACTGATTGCTGTGTTTCAGTCTGGCTGGAATGTTGTAACACCAGCTGAGCAATACCGTTGGTACCACCATCACATTCAGGGAAAACTGCAGTTTCCTTGAGATTTGAGTTAACAGATCTTGTAAACTTGTTAATAATCCTCTTTATAAGTTAGATTTTCTTATTGTCCAGCGTTACCCGCTGTTAAAATGTTTTTATGTTTCAAATACAACTGTTGAATAGCTAACTGTGTTTATGAGAATGTTTGTATACACACTAGTATCCTAGGATCCTATGACTCCTCGACATCTTAGTAGTCTCATAGTGAGTCATTCCTGTATCAACAGAGTTATCTCAGCAATTACCGCTCTGCTGGATTTCACCTATCCATCTTCTCATCGGGAATGATACTCATTTTATCCTGTTCACAACTGTCAGACATTCACTTCAGCATATAAAACAACATTACATTATGTACTATGTTATCATATTTATTTTCTTCTGACAACTATGTGACCTGTGTGTATACATCAGAAGGATATATTCAGGTTTCCTTTAGTCCCTAATAGTACTCTATTAGTCAAATTATACCATAGTGACCATCCGCCAGTGACCATGTGTTGATAAATCAGTCTTGTGCTGTCACATTTTTACATATTAATGGAGTTGCCACATCCTACTGAGAGGTCTATTTGTTTTTGTACATCAACATATTCCCTGATTAATTACAGCCTGGCTCTTTCATCCAATAGCCCATCTTGTTGATTTTCAGACTGGTTCATTCTAGTTTACAGTTATTATTGTGATTGTTGAAGAAGGGGTAGAGAAGCTGATTGTTTTTATTATATTTTCTCGCTGCATTCATGGACAAGTTGCTACTAGCCTGATACAGCCTCTCCCTGTTGGGGAGTTGTGACTCCTACCACACAGAAACCTTACAGTAATAAACAAAACAGTGCTGTGTAAAAAAAAATACAGGCAAGGTGGAGCATATCCTTAATGGTCTGTGGGATTCTCTATATTATTGTGTAGTTTTCTACAGCCTTTCACTACAAAAGCCAGTCCCAACTATTTAAATGGAGCCCTTGCTCTATTTAAATAGTTTTTTCCAAAGGCTGCTTTTGTAGCTCACAGCAGTGCTTTTCCTATTGTGGCCCAAAACTCCAGAAAGATATCCAGTTAGTAGCATTGCCTTAGGAATGTAGATTAGCATTGAAACAGCCAATTCAGTCTCTGTTCTTGCACAATGACATACAGTAGTACTGGAACAGAACCTTGGTCACCTGATGAGCATCATGTGCTCCTCACTTGTGCCTCAAACTGACTTTCTTTGTCTTTGTGAAAAGAACAAAGAAACGGTCAGTATGAAAGCTGGCAGGATTACCCCTGGGTTCACATCAATAAGCCGAATAAGCCTGTTAAGCACGTCCAGTGAGCGACAGCTTGTACTATAGATGGCCACTATTACACAGACTCATCCCTGTTTCCCCAGCTTGGCTACATAGGCTTTTTTCATGGATGACATTTTGACATGTCACAGTAGGTACAGCACAGGTAAATAAAGTTAGTGATGGCTACATTCTATTTAGCTTCTTCACTTTCAGGGTCCTGTCATGGCTTACACACATGTTATTAGAACAGAGCCATTAATATTTTTAGTAGTAATAGTAGTAGTAGTAAAACCTATGCTTTTTCGGCTATGAATCAAAATGTCTGTGAAAAAGGCCAGTTAGTCATAGAGATGTCTTATTCTATGTGGATCTTCTTGTAGATGTACAGGTTCAGTTGTAGCATAATGTGTCTATTGGGGGGAAAAAAGCTTATTGCTGTGATATTAGATCTGATGTCTTTACAAAGAAACATGTCAGCACTTTTGTTATTCTGTTCATTTTAAACAAGATTCACCAAAACGATCAAAACGTGATTATTTAAATAGTTTTTTCCCACAGTGGAGTTCTGATTTTTTTTCTTGATTTTTCTTTGCGAGCTCTAGCATCTGCCTTGTCAGATTCCACATAAGATGGATAAACACTCATAGTGAAATGTGCCCTTGCAGCAAATGTTTGTTGACAAATACTGATAAGCCATTGAACTCTCTTTCAGGTCAGTTTGGGAACCCCTTGAACAAATATATCCGCCACTATGAAGGTTTATCATATGACACAGAAGCCCTGCACAACAGTCACCAGAGAGCCAAGAGGGCACTCTCTGCTCAAGACAGGACCGTGCACCTGGACTTTCATGCACATGGAAGGTCAGTTTCGGGACAAATGCACACACTGTCCTCCTCACTTATTCACTCTCTCTTTCTGTCTTCCGAAGTAACCGCACACTATGCTGCTTTAATTTCTTATGAATATGTGGCCCACCCTGTGCACCATAGTTGTGAACACATAATGCTGTTGTTAAGATGAAGTTGTTAAGATGAAGTACTTAATTTTTACTCAAGAATATTTTGGAAAACTATTTGTACAGTTTCTTTTCATTTAGTAAATGCATTTGATTAATTCATGTATTTTCTTAATGACATTTATCTTATAAGTTTTTATCTTGACTTGTGCTTTGGTTGTGTTTACTTACCATATCAGCACCATAACATTATATATTTTTATTTGCAATAATAATTATCAGGCAATGCCTTTGAATGTGAAATGGATATGGAAATGTTCCTTCAGTTCCCCCAGTGTCATTAGATGTGGCATATCGTGTAATTTATCATTTGGTTATACTGTTTCCTTATTGAACCATCTTGTCATAGAAAGAACTGTGACCAAAGACAAAATGTTATTATAATATTGGGCAATTGCATTGGAACTGAAAACTAGAGCGTAATGGTCCACATATGTGGAAAAGTACCTGTTGTTTTCTTTGCTTTACAAGGAAAACTAATCACATTATTGCAAACTGTAATTAAATCCTCCCCTTTTTCTTTTTTACCTCTCACAGTTTCTCCATGTATTCTCTCTTCCTCTTTCTGATTCTGTTTTAAATGTCATTTAACTCAAGATGAGCCCTCGCCAAGGCCAAGTTGTTTGAACACACTGATTCCACTTCTGTTTTGGAAACAGATTATTTCAAGCAGTAACACTGTTTAAATATTTTCATATTTGTATCAGCTGAGTTCTTGTCACTTGGTATAAAGTGACAGCAGGCTGTAGCAGTGTGTGTGTGTGTGTGTGTGTGTGTGTGTGTGTGTGTGTGTGTGTGTGTGTGTGTGTGTGTGAGTGTGTGAGTGAGTGTGTGAGTGAGTGTGTGAGTGAGTGTGTGAGTGAGTGAGTGAGTGAGTGAGTGAGTGAGTGAGTGAGTGAGTGAGTGTATAAAAATTGCAATTGAATGGCTTACATTAGTGAAACAAGAAAATAAACACCACAAATTCCATTTTCATTAATTGCTGTTAGTGTGTAAACTCTGCTTTATCTGCTTCAGTATGTCATTTGAGAGACTCCCACAACTGGCCATTTTTGCACTTGCTGCCTAAAGGTTATTGTAAGGGCATTGCCAAACATTGTTAATGAAGGTATTAACATTGAAAGCAACTGATGATTTGCATACCTGTATAATATTGTTTGTTATTCTGAACAAAATCTTATTAAATGCAAATACAGAAGAGGACAAGGGGGTGATGACACTTTGGGGTATAGCTTTGTATGCTTGTTGTATATGGACATTTCATAGCATAAAATGTTCAAAATGACAAAGCTGATAATTGTATATCCAAATTATATCTTGGTGGTTTAATTCCTACCAAATAAAGAACATTTCACTCAAATATCTGAGTCAAAAAAACCCTAGACTTAAAATTTTATTTATGGTCCTTCTGAGTGCAATAATATGCTACAACTTCATGGAAACACGGAGTAATGCTTGCCTTTCCCTTCCTAGACCCAATTTTAGGACTACATAGGGCAACACATGGCATAGAAAATGTGGACTGGCTTGGCTTGACTCACTTACAATAGAAGTTTGTTTTCTGCTGCCTTTAATTTGTACATGCTGTTGTAACATACTGTCTTCATTTTCCATACACATGCACTCAATAAAGTATGTTTTAATATACTGTATTGCCATCACAGTGCCATTATGGAGTTAATGGTCCATCCATTTATCCCTTTATTTCTTGCTGTGATTTATCTGCTTTTCCCTGTTACTTTCATTTTTCTGCCATGTTGAAGAGTGTTTACCTCAACAGCACAGGTTTTCCAGCAAGCTCCCCCTGCTTTCCTCTTCCCCAAGCCTGTTGTGGGTTATCAAGGCCCTGTCAAACAGATCCTTTTCCTGTCTTTTTGTGCTCTTTCCTGTCATTGCTAGCCTTGTTGGCACTGCCTGTATTGCTAAGGTAATCAGTGTCATAGAGCACGATCATTTTCAGTGTCTGAGTGCTCTGTAGTGTCTAAAAAGGACAAAAACAATATTTTGTTGAGGGAATTGGTCTTGAATGTTAGTAGCAGAGAAAAAAGATGAAGTACTGCACATACCATGACGTGTAGAGGAGCAGACCAGACATTTTCAAGATAGAGTACTCAAGTCCAGTTTGCTGAACAGGAAAAGAGGACACAGTGAGAGATTTCTGAACTGTTAAGACATTGAGGAAAGAATTTTCTAATTACAGCTTAACATGATAATCCCTCTAGCTGTAATGTAATGTGACATTTGTGTTCTGAAGACAAATGAATAAAAAATGGATACATGTATGTTTCCATTAGAAGAAAGAAGTTTAGCCTCTCAACTGACTCCAGTTATAAATGGTGCAGTTCTCTTGAGCATCACAGGGTGGACATTATATCACATACCCTTGTAGATGCTTATAAAAATCATCATCGCCTGTGTCATGCTTACAATATTAAGTTTTTATTGTTTTGTAATGTGTAAGATAGATTTTTATTTAACTCTGTGGTGTAAAGGCTTTGATCTGTTGTGATGTGTTGTTAATGACATGAAATTGTACATAGCATTTTTGTTTTCCATATAGTGATCCAGTTAGCTTAAGATAAACAGAACCAAGCCAGTGGTCATAAAGCTAGTACAGTCTTTACATCCTCACTGAATTTATTAGGTGAACTCTCCCTTATGTGAAAACCCAATGCGGAGCTGTGTGGCACTATAGAGGTTTGTTGTAACAAGAGAAAAGCTTTCTTGTGTATACTCACATGACTCTTTGTGGCTGGATCAGGTGACCAAACAAGGTAGGGCAGACAGTTGTGTCTATGGGGGGTTTTATTTACAAAGATGTACCAAAAAAGTAGTCTATAATACAAAGCTGGGGGCTGTGGCACTGTTCACAGTTCAGTTAAGTACCCTGCTTTTCATTTGTGAGATGTAGTTTTCACCATTGCAATAAATTACGATATTAACAGATTGGCAACCATAAGATCTCAGTAGTGTTCAGAGGCCAAGGGTCTCGTTACAGGAGTTGTAATATCCTTACTGCATTTGGAATTTAATCATAACTCACACACTGGAACAAAATTCACAGTACAATCAGGAATCTTCCCCTCTTCTCTCGAGCATCCTATTATTACACCATTTCTGAGAAAGAGCAACTTAAGCTGATGATACACGGGGCAACTTTTTGAGCAATGTTGCTGGACAATCTTGCTAGCGGCAAGTCCGACTATGTTTTGAACGGATAGTGGCGGTACGGGGCGGGTGGCGGAGTGGTGGGGGAAGAGGATTACGGTAGTAATCTTTACTCATTACCATTGACGGCAATATTGCCCTGCCCGATTGCTCTAAAAGTTGCTCTGTGTATGATCAGCTTTAGACCCATCTGTATTAAACAACTACAGACCAATCTCCGATATCCCTTTTCTTAGTAATCCTTGAAAAGGTTGTCTACAAGTTGCTGCATAGTTACCTATCACTCCACGTTCTGTATGATGTCTATCAATCTGGCTTCTGGACTATGCATGCATAATGCCCAGACCAAATGGGCTCACAAGACACTAAAACCAAAACATTTCTGGATTTAAAACAGCCATTTCAGTTAATATAAATATTCTTAGATTATCTTAAAAAGGCAAATACAGATCAATGGTCTAAAGATCAACCGTGCTGCAAACAAACCTTCCATTCTAGTATTACTAGACCTGACTGCAGCCTTTGACACAACATTTTAGTCAGTAGGCTAAAACATTCAGTTGGCCTGTCTGGTGTCATTAACTGGCTAACATTGGTGGGGTCCCACAAGGCTCAGCTCTAGACCCATTACTATTTAATCTATATATGCTGCCCCTTGGTTCCATCATACAGAAGAACAATGTATCTTACCATTCATTTGCTGATGATACTTGATTGTATATTTCACTTTCACATGATAATCTCAGCCCTTGACCTTGTCAACTGAATCAGTGACATCAGACACTGGATGATCCAAAACTTTCTGCAATTAATCAAAGACAAGACTGAGATCCTTGTGGTAGACACTAGAGGTCAGAGACTGGAAATCCACTCAAAACTGACATTTTACAACCTAAAAAGTATGTACAAAGTCAAATCCATTTAGTCTCAATCAAACACTGGAAAAACGGGCCCATACATACACTACTGTAATGCCCTTGTCGCTGTACTTGAAGTGTTGCAGCCAGAGTACTCACTGGGACAAGAAAAACTGAGCATATTACTCCTATACTTGGATCACTTTACGGTAAAATACAGAGTTGATTTCAAAATATTGCTCACTGTTTACAAATCACTTAATGATCTAGCTTCCAAATTCATCTTTGACCTGCTCAATGCTTACTAACCCTCCAGATCCCGCAGATCATCAGACATCTGTCTGGCTTTACTCTTTCTGAAGTATATCTGTTGACAATGCATTCAGTTATTATGGGCACAGTCTCTGGAACAAGCTGATATAAGATGTACCACAACAACTGTACAGTCAGCTTAAAACCTACCTGTTCTCTCAGGCCTATGGTCTGTCTGTCTGTCTGTCATTCCTTTTATATGCATTTCAATACGTATTGATGTATGTATTTTGTTCATATTTGTGTGTTAAGCACATAGAGCTTACATTGTATGAAATGTGCTATATAAAAACATTTGACTTGACATAGTATCTATTCTCTCATTATGATCATACTTGTATTACAAGATTAGTAAATAATAGATCATACACTCAGTCTCTCCCCAGGTCTGTCCATGTCCAGTAGAACAGTGACATTGTCCAAAGTCTTGCAAATATCTAACTGGTTTGAAATGAAAGATAAAGTCCTTCAACATTTGCCGGACAGGGTTGAGGAAGTTTTATGAGTCTGTGGTGGCCAGTGATATCCTGTTTGCTGTTGCTTGCTGGGGTGGTAGGCGGTAGGTTGAGGTTAGCGGACGCTAAAAGACATAACAAACTGATCCACAAGGCCAGTGACGTTGTGGGGTGGAGCTGGACTCGCTGTTGGTTGTCTAAGCTACATGTCATATTTGACAATGTCTCCCAAACTGATGTGCAATACTCTGTTTCATGGCTTAATGTGCAATATTCTCTACTCTCTAAGGATTTCTAATACATTTCACCTCAACACTATCTGTAGTCATTATTATTACTACTATTTACAATTTGTTATTATTTATTGTTAAACTTCTGTCATATATCATACTGTAAAATACTGTACATCTTCCACACTTCTTATTTATGCTTTTATATTTATTTTTAGATTATATATTTATAGAAAGCATCTTAGTTTTTAGGACTCTTGTTATAATACAGAGAGTAGTGACACAAGTGAACATATTATGTATGGAGCTCTTATGACTCTGTGCTAGTAAAGAGGACATACAATGGCCTTCCTAAATATTGCACATTGTACAAGTTAGACAATATAACTGTAATATATTTTGTATAAACCATGCTGATATATATGTGTAGTGTAGATATTGTCCCCTTTTGTAGAAATACCATCTCTGCAGACTTGGCTTGAGGGCACTCAATTTCTGTGAGCTGGCCTGCTTACTGAGCAAAGTGTAGGACTGTCAGATGCTTGAGTCAGTATGTTCAGCATTTGGGATATGTCTGAATTATTTATTAGTCAGCTGCTTTTGTGAGATGAGTAGCACTGACTTGATCCACAGCCTCTCTTCTTCCTATGTGTTGCAAGCCATGTTTATTTGCCTGGAGCATAATGCAATGATTTTCTATCTTTTTCAGTTAGTAAAACCTTTGACCATTTAGAGTGATTTTTAACTGCTGAGTGATTTCTTGCCCTGAAATGTCTTATCCATCCCTTTTAATATTGTCCTAATTTTAATCCACTCTCATGTTTATCCTTATTTGCTTGATTAGTTTGTACGGAAAGGTCACGGTGGGAATTTTTCCCCCCTGAAATTCTTATTGGTTACCTCGCAATAGGTTTTTGCAACTCCTATTTGATGATGCTTTCTTAATGTTAATAGGAGTAGTATAGAGCAGTCATAGCTACAGCTACTGTAACCATATCCATTGCAACCACAATAGCACACAGCTTTAACCGCCTTCACAGCCAAGCCGAGCAGCTGCAGCTGTGTTCCTGAAATGAAAAACTATGTTTAGAATGAGGTTGTACAATTATTCACTGGTAATTATACAGCCTTAAACGCAAAATAAATAAGCTAGTCTCGCTTTGTGCCCTAGCCTCTTAAAAACAGATTTGCCCTCTCACTGTTATTCAGTTACTGCACCTCTAATATGATAGTGGGAAAAAAAAACAATTCACAGTTTTGTATTTAGTAGATAAGAACTTGCACAGAAGTGCAGAAGTAAAGTGTAGGAACAATACTGAAGTATCAAAACAGTACATAGATCATTATGTTTAATCAAGTGTAAAAACAGGATTTAAGAAAATTGTCTGAGAGTTATGTAACAGAAACAGGTAACCCCCAAAAGTGTGTGTTTGTGTTTTAGGGGATATGCAAGGTACTTATTGAGGATTGATTTAAAAGGTTGGACGTAGACTGGAGCAATTTTAAACCGTGTCGAAAAGATGGATTATCAGCCTGCATTTCAGTATTCACATTATAGATGTCCATTCGTAATGGGCTCTTGGCAAGGACTTGTGACTTTGGCGTAAGACAGGCTTGGCAATAAGGTTTGAATAATGGTCCAGAGATATGGGGGTTCTGTGCTTTTAGTTGGGCATTGTTCACTAGCTTTATAAACAAGAGCAGACACATCTCCAGTGTGTAATGGTTCGCAGAATAACCATCACTCGTAGCTGTTATCATATTACTGACATCCTATGGTCCTCCGTTATTTAGAAGTTGTCACGGAGGAGGAGGTCAGTGATCAAATATGTTAAAATACAGAATGCTTCTTGCTCCGTGATGCTTCCCTGGTAAAAATGTTTTGTAAAGAAAATGCCATCATGGACAGCATAACCATTGTCTGACGGTGAACATTCAACATGCCTTTGCAGATCCCTGATAATGCAGATAAAATGCCTCAATTTAGTAATCTCCTTATGGATTCACCTGCGTCTGTGACCAGTGTGCCATGGTGGCATCAGGGTCGACTGATATTTCGATGGGGCATAGATGAAGTGATAAGGTCATCATATTGATTGTTGTAGAGGCCATTGATAAGGTGGACACAGGACAAGAACTGTAATGGGTGTGCCAGGATGAATACCAAGCAGAGGAATTTATATTAAATCTATTGCCAGATGATCAGATTTGTCATAATGTTGACTTCAAAGAGTAGGTCATATTGCAGTCTTTTATTTGTTTCTCTCGTTCTTCCCTTGGCTTCATTTGAAATGTTCTTCTGACAGACGACTCCTATCTCAGAATACAGATCACATTGTGTTATTCTGCTTTAAAAAAGATCACATCCACTTGTTTCTTTTTAAGTTTATTTTCATGTTAAACAGACCTAGGCCTATTGGTGATCATATGCTAATTTATATATGCATGCATTTACTCAGTTCCAGAAGAATAAACATCAGGTTGCTTCATGAATAGTCATCTACGTCTTTGTCTAAGTAGGTGAGGGGAACCAATGAATGGAAGATACTGTAACTGTAACAAAAAGGCAGGGTGTGTGTGAAATTAAAACAGGAATGACGAAGGGAAAACTGAAAGGAGTCATCCTGTTCAGGAATATCCTGGACTGTGTCTGACCTTTTTCAGTATTATCTGCTACCTCCCAAAAATGTTCTGTTCAACTCCTCCCTACATTCTGTTGTCTGTCTCTTGTGCTCAGTTTTTCTTGGCTTTACTCTGTTAATGTTTTCATGTACTCAATCCCGCTGTGTAGTAAGTCTGCCTTCACGTCCTCTAAACCTCCAATACCTCCACAATGGGCTCAGAATGAGGTAGCAACGTGAACATCAATTGAGTTATCTGTTTCACACTTTGAGACCAAGCCATGGGATTATTCCTCTGAATTACTCAATACATTGCCTCAGTGGCTGGTGCACTTCATGTGACGCTTTCCTTTTTGCCTTTGCTGTCATGGTTTATGTTAACGAGGGGATTACAAACAAAAGTACTGTGCACAATTGTTCATGTGCTTTTCCTCAGGACATAACTGTTCTTGTAAACTCACTGAGCAACAACCAGCACATTGGCATTGTAAAGCTCAGTAAAAATGTATAAAAGATTTTTCTGCTGTGTGTGTGTGTGTGTGTCAAAGTGCAACTTTGTGTTTTGTGCAAATGCTAACTAGACAATTTTCTCTTGTTCTTCTCTTTAGACATTTTAACTTGCGGATGAGGAGAGATACGACTCTGTTTACTCCAGATCTCATCATTGAGATATCAGGAGAAGAGGCACCCATTGACACATCACATATTTACAGTGGAGAGGTCTTTGGTAAGTTCTGCTGTTTTCACACACCACATCTTGGTGCCATTTCTGAAAAGGAAATGTCTCTAATCCAATTATGGTTAAATTGAAAGTTTGAATCATCCCTTCTCATTATGTAATCCTACATTATCCCTTACACCTTCTGTTGAGGGACTTCTCAAACATTTCAGCTAAAGCCTAGTTCACACTACGCGATTTTTAGCCCGATTTGCCGCTGGGCGAGCTCTGCGACCGTCATGCTGTGATCGGGGGCAAATCAGCGGATCATTGGCGGTCGCCAGTTGTTATGTCTGAACTACTCAATGACTCATCAAAACAGCTCCCCGACACATTTCTGACACATCACAGACGCCGGCCAGATATATAGCATGCCAAATATCTGCAGAAGTCGGCCGACTCGACATCCACATCCAGCCAATGAGAGCAGGCAGCTGGCAGAGCAGGCAGCTACTTTTTCACTGCAAAATGCCTTTTACTCGCCTCAGCTCTCTCTGTAGCACAGACAATCCCTGCTGCCTGAGTGTGCTAATCCATTCTTTGACACAGATTTTTTGTCTTTATAATTGGTAGCTTTATAATAACAAACAACAGCTGTTTCGTGTGTAGGTTTGCTCATTTCCCGTTTCACATTTCACGTGTGTTTTCTTGACAAAACATGGTTTGGAGACCAGCGTCGGGTGACAGAGTCGCTGTCAGCTCGTGTAGTGTGTGACCCCGTTATCGATCAGACACATAGTGTGAACGCCACAACGACTTCAAGACTCCTATCACAAGACGGCAAGTTGTGTAGTGGGAACGGCGCGGCCATCGGCCGACGCTGAAAATCGTGTAGTCTGCACGAGCCTTAAGTGACAGTGTTATCATCTGCCGCCTTTTCTGTTTGCACGATCAAAGTTTGGGTTTATTCTCCCAAATGCATTATGGAATATTGGATGTCTGTGAGAGAGAGAGAAATGTAAAGTGTTTATCACATCACAATCCAACACACACAGGACTTACTTTAACCCTTCATCCTTCCCGGACGTCTTCATGCTGCCTGTCTCCTGTAGAGTTCAAATGAACAAGAGAAAAAACAATGCTCTCTTTTTTTGTGATCCGTGTGTGGAGGAGACAGAGAAACCGAAAGTTAATACTTTTCTTTATTTATGAAGTATTCGTAATCTGAGCTCTAACAATTCTGAAATCATAAAAGAAATCCACACAAATGCCCAGGCCCTTAAACAAATTAAATATGATTCAAGTTCAACTACACAACATTTAGTTTTCAACCACACATTGTGATTTTTTTAGGAGGCATTTTATAGATACTTGAGTATCTGTAAAATGCCTGGGTGTGATCCTGCTTTGTATACATTTAATAGACCTAATATTTGGGAATGCAACATATTTTAGTTTGCTGCAAGAATTTGTTTGTAAATACACTAAACACTTATTCATGTAAGTTTGACCACTGTACTTCTTGTACAGTCTGTACAACAGCCTGTATTTAGGTGTTTTTCACACCATGTGGTATTAAATCCTTTATGTGCCTTTAGAAACCATGTCTTTCTACATCATTCCCTTAATTGTATTACAAAAGTTGTGTAAATGAAATGATTAATTATTACTGTGACCATAACTATTCTTTGAAATGCAAACAATACCAGAGTTGTCTTACTCCATTCAAATACTTCTTTCTATTTGGTCAAACTGTATACTTAACAGTATGGCTGCAACTAACGATTATTTTGTCGATTAATCTGTCTATTATTTTCTCGATTTATGGATTAGTTGTTTGGTCTGTGAAATGCCAGTACTAAATATGAACCCCCTTATCCTAAGCCACTCTTCACTTAATGGAGATAATCAGATATATGGTGGCTATGTGGATGCATGTGGCAGTGGAAACAAGTGTTGCCATTCAACTGGACAGGTACCTGCACCCAGGTTATGCTAGTACAAAATGTGAGAATAGCCATCCCTCAGTGTACACATCACCAGAGGAGCAAGAGAAGCCCAACACCCGGTGGCAGCTTTGATAACAAGGTCTACATCGACGCCATAGGGGTTCCTAGAGGAGTACCAATATTCACATTAAAGAAGCTGGAATTGTAACTCCTTCTTTTTGTTGTTTCTTTTTTTTCGTAAGAAATTACTCTAAGGGATCAGTTGGGAATTTATCTAGTCTAATAGCTGACAACCTAATGATCGTTGCAGCTCTATTTACTCTCATTTCTACCTTTTGAGCTGCTTGAATATTTAGACAAGAGATTTCATTATATATTCAGTATAGAAGAATACTTTTTTGATCTTCTAGAGAGAGTAGATTAAGTGTACTTCTCTGTTTATTCTCTTTTCAAAATAATTGTAACTCAATTATTTGCTCAACCCCTCAGCCTGTTTTTATTTTCCATTTAACTCTTTTAACCCTGATCTTTTAACACTGTAACTTTTATTATTTTTTTAATGTGTATTTTTTCAATTTCCCTATGTTGCTTTTAAACTTTTTTATATTTCCCTGTTGCTTTTATGTTTTATGTAAAGCACTTTGAATTACCTTGTTGTTGAAATGTGCTATACAAATAAACTTGCCTTGCCTTGCCTTCAGGTGAAATGCTAAATTTTCTTCACAGACAAAGACTGTTTTGTCGACCTCTTCTCATCCTTATCCTCTTTTGGGTTTCAGGTGAAAAGGGCACACTGACCCATGGCTCCGTGGTTGATGGGCGCTTTGAGGGCTTCATTAAAAGCCACCAAGGAACATATTATGTTGAACCCTCTGAGAGGTACCTTAAGGACAAGAATGTGCCCTTCCACTCCGTCATCTATCATGAGGATGACATCAGTAAGTATCTGCCATTGCACACACTTTACTGAAAGGATGTAGATGTAGTCCACATAGTTTGCACACTTGCAGTGAAAGGTTTTGTCTTCCTTGTCTTTATATATGTCATAGACATGTTGGCTGGAGTACAGGTACTTTTATGGGAGCCTTCTGAAATGTATCTATCAAGGAATGTAGTGGTTTCTTCTATGTTGTTCAAAAGAATTAAGATTGTATATTAAAATCTACAAAGGATAAAAGTTAATACTTTAGGAAGGATAATATTGAGAAAAACATTGCTATTTCACTATGAGGAACAAAATTGTGATTTCTTTGTGTAGTTGGTGAAGCAAGGGGTTGATGGTTAAGCACTTAGACTTGCCTGACCAGTTTGGAGATGTTTGACAAACTGGTAGCAGCAGAATTTGGCACAAGGTGGTCAGTATTTATACAGGATATCAGGATTGGAGCATGACACAGAATAGGCGTGACTCATAGCCATGGCTAAAGTCAGACTACAAACCAACTGATAGCTGCTTAGTTAGGAAACTTCAACAGATAACTCTGAAGAAAATGTTTGGAAATAATGACTAGATTTCAAACAGGCAAGGTGTGGTTGTGGGCGAAAACACTATGAAGCAAATACTGTGTGAGTAGAAACACAATCCAGTGGCTTGAGACTCATGATTCCAGCCCAAAGAACTGCATTTAGCAGACAGACAGTGAGTCTGGTATGAACCCCTCCCTGGCTTCGGGCTAACTGATATTCACTACACTCTGCACACACAAGTACATGAACATTGGCATAGGGAGATTATTTTGAACTGCTGAAGAATATACGAGCAAATGTATTTGAAAGCACCTATTTAGAGGCCCCAAGACTGGTTTTATAATATGGTGAAGTCATCCGCCCACAGCAGGAGCATGTCATTCTATCAGTAGTGATGAAAGAGCAATTGGTCGGAGTGAACAAAAGGTTTAAAATAAGGAAAACTGAAACATCCCACATGCACCTTTATCTACAGTGAAGGCAGAGTTTTCAGATGGTCCTCCTCACATTGTGCATTAAGCTGTAATGGTAGGAGACAGAATAAAATATGTGTAATATCTATCATAGTGAAATTAATGGAAAAGAACAGCAGTACAGTAAAACATTTCAGAAGTTGAAAATCACCCTAACTTTAGACTAATACTTGTAAAACCTGAGCTTTAGCTTTTTCACATAGTCCCATCTCAGAACTAGAGGTGCTCCGATCAGGATTTTTTGGGCCGATCACCGATTGCTGAAAGCAGTATCGGCCGAGACCGATCACTGGGTCTATTTGGAGCCTTTTATTTATCATGTAGCATTATACAGCATACTGTATATTTATTTAATTGGTTCATTAACAGATGATAAAGTATCATGAAATGACAACTGTTTATTTTATTGCCAGGAAACATGGGCAACAAATTCCACTCAATCTGTGTTAGAGACTTAAACCATAGAAGCCTTTGCCTGGTTACTATGAACATCTTATAACTTAACAAATATAGCTTTACTGTGGAATAACTACAAAAACAGAACAAACAGCATCTTTATAAATTTACTACAACCATAAAAACTGCAACAAAAAAGGCTGTAGCCAAAATATTTAGGAGATCAAGGAGCACAGGCATCATGAGTTGATGATAAACTCTGAAGTAGCTGCTTTTTGTTCTGGAAAGCTCAGGCAGGTTCTGTGGGTTTTAGGGGGGAGAGAGAGGAGCAGAGAGAGGGAGAAGGGCTACAGAGAGGAGTCAAAACTGCCTTCAGTGAGATTTGAAAATAAGGAAAATTTAAATAAATAAAAATAGGCTACAATGTAAATTCCATATTATACAGTCAGTTGTTAATATTACATAGGCTACTATATTCATTAGAATTTCATATGGTTTGCCATTAGTAGGCATAGGCCTTATATCATTTCAGTGGATTGTTTTAATTTTTAATCCTTGTGCAGGAAGCACAGTCTACATATTTTACATGCTGCCACCGGCTTTACCAGAGAGAGTAGCAAACACTTTAAATACGGCCAGAAGGTTTTTATTTGAATTCATAAAGGTTATAAATACGGGAGATTTACGGGGAAACATTTAACGGGTGGATACCGGGTGAGAACGGAAAAATACGGAAAAATCTCGGGGAAAACGGGGGGGTTGACATGAGAGGAGTAGAGAGAGGAGTGGGCTAATGTGAGGCTAAATCCACACTGCTACGTTTTTAAAACAGTTTTATAACGAAAACGATCTTCGTATCAGAGTTGATCTGTCTATATTAGAACGACTGAAAACAGATCTACTGGCCGTTCAGGTAGCCTTCACTGCGCATGCGCGTGCCAGTGTAAACATGAAGCAGATGGTCTACTCCGCAGTAGCAGACGATTTAGCGAAAGAAGAAATAAATACAGACCAAGAACCACACCACCATTTTTTGCATTGACCGACAACGAAGTGGAACTGTTGCTGAAAGTAACACGGGAGTACGAGAGACTGTGTGGGCGTGTTAATCCCTTCTTGTCTGAGAAGGACTTTGGTGCTAGCTAGCTTTGAAAACCGCCCACACAGCGTAGTGAAATATTTTAGCTTCCGTTGAAAATGTCTGGCGAGTATTGCATCATCTGATCGTCTTTTCTTATCGGCCTTTTTAGCGACCACCGATCAAACTAGTTAAAGCCATCATCTGCCGATTATGATCGGTGACCGATCGATCGGAGCACCCTTACTCAGAACTATATTTAACTCATATGTCTGGCATCAGAAATATATATAATAATATTTTATGTTGGTATCAGTGAAAAAAGGTAGGAATTATGGTTATGAAAAATCCTCATTTCTGACTCTTAGCTTTCCCTGCAACTTTTTGTTCCATTCATTACATTCATTTTTTTTTTTTTTTTTTTTTTTTACTTCTGTCCAAATTGCAAGGGCCTTTTGATTAGCAGTTGAATGAGATGGCATTCACTGTTGGGACAAAAAGGGCTTTCTCTGGAAAAAATTCTCAGAGGTTAAATGTGTGGTTTCAGTGTGTGTCCAATCAGTTTAGTAACCAGCACAGAGCTCTCCTCTTTACTGAATGACCCACAATGGCTGCGAAACACTTATAGTTTGTAGTTTGGCAAATGCAAGCTGCTCAGAAGCAAGTGACCCATTAGTTTGATGGAAACCAACATCATCAGAACACATTGATTTGCAAGCCCAGATAAAAAAAAAAAAAGTGTATCTCACAGCAAGTGTGTGACCATTGTTAAGTTTGCTCACTCATAGTGACTCTTGCTGTTCACTTTATAGTTGTATAGCACTGGTGTGCACTAGATGCTTGATCTAAACCAGTTTTTCTCAAAATTTTCACTCCAAGAACCCTTAAACTGACTAACTGTATAAAATAACATGAAATGTTCCTAATCTGTTTGTTCATACCTCCTTTATCTGAAATAGCTTTTTCAGTGATGTTGGGATACTTTGAATCGCACAGTATTTGATGTGAGATCAAATGTCATGTCAAATAATGTTCACCAGCGGTGAACTACTGTGTTGTGACTTAACAGCAAAGGATGGTGATCATAAAACTGATCCAATTTTGTTTTGTTGATCCAGTAAAGACAGCTGCTGAAGCCATGCTGTGGTGGGACACAGATTCATATGTTGTCGCTGAAATGTGTATTGTTTGTATGAAAAGAGAAGAAGGCAATCGCTTTGTACACTGTGCAGTAGAGATATGAACACAGTGGAGATTACATTTGTTTGACAGTTCTTGATCAGCACTGGTAAACCAAAAGACTGGGAATTCTATTCATATTGTACAAAGAGTTTGTTTGAGGGGCCCCTCCCATTTGCCCTTTAAAATCCAATGCAGTGGATTGTACGGGTTACTTCAGTTTGTGCACTAGCTTGAAGAGAACTTTGTTACAAAGCAGTTTTACATTGGAAATGTTTTCCCACTCACCCCGGTTCACCTTCACCAGTCCACCACACATGATTCTAAAGATCATGATGCCGTGTAAGCTCCTCACAGCCATTCTCCTCCCTATCTGCCAGATTATCCTCATAAGTATGGCTCAGAGGGCGGCTGCGCAGACCACTCAGTGTTTGAGAGGATGAAGAAGTACCAGACATCTGCAACAGAGGAGCCGGTCAAAGTAAGTTCCAGCGTCACAACAAAGCCCCTCCCCTTCCTTTCAGCTCATAATTAAAACACACAGATGGACAAGGCTCATGAGATTAAAGAAATCTTATCTCATATCTGTCCGACCTTTCAATGACAGTAAGAGCATGTGTATATTTTTAGCACAGGTGTACATGCTTTCAGTGTAACACCTGATTGTTAGCTATGTTGAAGCAACGCTCAGCCTTTTTAAATACGGCAATAGAAACTTTCTCCAGAAGGTTTTTGGAGAAAATGAAAAGATGAACCCCTGTTCTTGTGTAATGTAATGCAAAACCCTTCTCTGTCTGTGTATTATCTTCAGAGCAGAAAATATTTATATCTACACAGTGGCTTAATTCCCTATTGAACCACACTTGCAAAATAAGAGACAACTACCACAAGTGACAGGGCCTTACTGTAATCAGAAGTGATCATTATTTGGCTGGGGATAGGGTTAACCATCTATCTGACTCTGCTCAATTGTTGACTACTTTGCCCTCCCCACTCCATCTTCCTTCTGTTTGATCCTGACGTTGTTTTGTTTAGGGGGTGAACAGTGTGCTAGAGGAGGAGAGCTCCTATGGTCCTGTTATTCTGAGGAGAAAGAGGGCAGCAGCAAAAGAGAAAAACACCTGCCAGCTCTTCATCCAAACTGACCACCTCTTCTTCAAATACTATGGCACAAGAGAGGCTGTCATTGCCCAGGTACACACCCTTGCACACAGTATGTAAACATGGCTCAAGTGTGGAGGCTCTTTTGCTGGTATCTATAAACTCTATCAACACATTACTTTAAGGCCGAATTAGCAGTCACAAATGTAACAGAATCATCCTGTTTTCCAGAAATGCAAGCCTCTGGGATTGTGACAAAGCTTAGCATCTTTAATGCAGTGCTGTTTCCACCGCCACTTCCTGACTACTCATCTAAATGATCATTTTCTCTACAGATCTCCAGCCACGTAAAGGCTATTGACTCAATTTACCAGGCCACAGACTTCATGGGCATCCGAAACATCAGCTTCATGGTTAAAAGGATAAGGGTGAGTTGAATCTCAGCAGTGAGCTGCTTGAACCTCAGGTGAATGCCAGCTGCCATTTTGATTCTGGGCATGTGGAGTGTGCTGCAGAATCAGTTTATATAACAAGTGATCTAAAGGGGATCAAGCTGCTAATATTTTGAGTGGAGATGTCTTTTGACCTGCCGTCTTAGTTGTGAACATTATGTTGTAGACAAAGTTTCACAGTGTGAATATTTATAATTTGATGTCAAAGGAGTTTTACAGTAATTTCTACAAGCTTTCTACTAGAAGAAGAGATGAATTAAATTCATCATGTCCTACTGTCTCAATATAGGGGTCTCTCTCCTATCTCGCTTCTCTTCCGTAATTGTTCAACTCTCCTTTGTTCAGATAAATACTACCATCGATGAAAAGGACAAAACCAATCCTTTTCGCTTTGCCAACATTGGAGTGGAGAAGTTTTTGGAGCTTAACTCTGAACAGAACCATAACGACTACTGCCTAGCCTATGTCTTCACCGATCGGGACTTTGATGATGGGGTGCTTGGCTTGGCTTGGGTTGGGGCTCCTTCAGGTTAGTATACAACACAACCATAAACACACACACACAACCTTGGTAGTGACCGCCATTGTTGCTTAGAGACATTTAAGCTGGGTTTGGGCTTTCTAACACAGGGACTTACTCCATGTCATCCAGTTGAACAGTACTATTTGCTACACTTCTGTCAGTTATGCAGGTTAATACACATATTTGAGTAGTCTTATCATTTAATTTGTTATTTTGTTAAGTTGAGGGGAGTTTGGTTTTGAGATCCCTTATCTCAGCATCAGTAGCAGAATGCTGTGGTGAGCAGAATAAGCTGAAGATGCACTGCTGGTTAGATAACCTGGCCCCTGTTATCATAGAACTAAAGTTCCTTGAAATAATGAACAAATCTCAGATACAACTGTGTCTCTGTTAACCCCAGCAGATCCTGATGAGCCTTACCATCTCAGTCATTCCATTACCAACCCAGTGCCCCACCACACACACTCACACACTCCTATATAAGTCACAGGAATTCATTAGGTGATGTCCTGTCAGCATTTTGTGTCTTGAGTTTCTCTTACTGTGTGCGTGTTTATCAGGATTGATAGGCTTTTTTCGCGAAATAGGGCCTTTCTTACAAAACAGTTAAACTCAGAATCAAGTCTTAGTGAAAGTTGAGATTTATAAAGAATTTCTCTCAAATGAACAAGTTCTGTATGTTTCATTCTTATTTTTCTATGTACTTAAAGCATTAATCTAACAAACTAATTGTCAGTATTATCCGAGGTACATCTAAGATGTGAACCTAAAGATAGCATTTGCCTTTCACAAAGAGGCTTCCAGAGCAATTTGTAGAAAAACACAAACATTATGAGTCAGAAGAAATTTCTATATTTTTTGGGTAGGAGTAGAGTAGAAAGGAATAGAAAGGGATCTTTAATGGCCTCTGAACAAAATACAGTACAGACTAGCCATGTGCTGCTGCAGTAATTAGCTAAAGTGAATGAAAGTGGCTAACATTTAACTATACATATCTCGTGTTGACAATCCCTCAGTCGGTTATTAAAGGCAGGTAATACACTGAATATAGTACCTCATAAAGCCCCACTTCAAAAATCCCAAACTATCTCTTTAAATGTGCTTATCTCCTAATGTGAAAGAAGGTGGGAATGGAGCATGGAGAAATTGCGTTATGGGCATTCTGTACTCCACCCTGAAGTTTACAATGTGTCAACTGGTTAGTATGAGAGAACTGAACATATTTCTGAACATGACTAAGTATCTATAAGCATTTATTATAGTATTTATTGTATTTTGTGAATATCTGTACATTTGAGAAAATAAGTTGCTGTTGTATAAACGTATGACTACATAACAGATAACATGTTTTTATGTAGTAATGTTTGCCTTAATCTATCCTTCTCTGTCAGCATTCATAATGTGTTCTCGAAAATCTTACATTAACTGGTTCTTCCCTAACAGACACAACATACATGAATGATAGTTATGGCGGGTTCTCCTTCCTATTCCTTTGAATAAGTTCAAACACCACCATTTCAACATGAAGAAAACTGCAACAAACACAGACGATCAATAAGGGGCGAATTAGCAATGCTGAAAGAATCGATTGAGGATAAGAGATGGAGAGGAGATGGGCTGCAGTGAGCTGTGGGGTGATTGTTTGAACAAAAGGAGTCCAGAACAAACAGCCATCAGGGATACTAATCAAGCACAGCTAATATGTATCTTGAGCAGCTAATATGTATGTGAGCAGTTGTTGTCGACATATATGTGGCTTCAGTGGAGGAGCAATGCAAGCACGCACACACACACACACACACACACACACATACATGCAGTTGACAAATACATAATGTGCAGTCATTGTCATGGTCACTTACTGTGCTTAATGGACACATTGTTTATTGCTTTGAGTGCTTTAGTCTCATGTTTCTGTTCTGTTAGAAGCAGCCTCTGAAGCTGCCTCCTAATGACTGGGTTTATGGATTATGGGAAAAGCAGCAGCACCACAGGCTTGCTTCTTGTTTGCTGTGATTGCAAGTAGTCCAGTGTTTTGTTGTTTTGTTGTTTTTTTTTGGGGGGGGGGGCTTTTTCAAGTTGATCTCAGTTTTAGCATTTTCATTTTAGAAAATTCAAAGTACAGAAAAGGCAGTAAAGATCACAAACACGATAGTTTACATGCTTCAGTTCTTTGAGCAGTCCTATGATGTACAATTTATCACATTTAAGAGAGAAGTTTTGTGAGGGTGGAGTAGATTTAAAGGTATGCGTGTTAATTTCTTTTATCGCATTATTGTATAGCCATTAATATGCATGCACAGTTACAGTATGTTTATTCTGGTATTTGGTATACCATTGTGTAAGCTGTCATTTCAGATCTGGTATTCAAGAATTACTTCACCTAACTCTTAACACCTTTCCCTACAGGAACAAATAGGCTTTTGATAGAACTTATTTGATGATTGTTTAACTTCAGTCTTTGGCAGTTAATTAACCCAATTATTAAAATACAAATAACATTCTATCTAAAATCTTGTCTAGTATTTAAATAATATGATAATCATTTCTACTATATATTTTTATCCTCCTGCCACAGGAAGCTCTGGGGGCATCTGTGAGAGGAGCAAAATGTACTCTGACGGGAAGAAGAAGTCTCTGAACACTGGCATCATTACTGTGCAGAACTATGCCTCCCATGTCCCTCCCAAGGTGTCACACATCACCTTCGCTCATGAGGTTGGGCACAACTTTGGCTCACCTGTAAGTACTGTGATTTAAAACTACCCATGTACCCTTATCTCTCTTACTAAGCTGTGGAACAAATTATATGCAGCTCTTTCTCAAGTCTCTCCGCCCTCTGTCCCCCCTTTACTTGCCTACTGTTTAACAGCATGACTCTGGGATCGAATGCACCCCTGGAGAGTCCAAGTTGCAGGACAAAAAGGAGCAGGGCAACTACATAATGTACGCCAGAGCCACATCAGGGGACAAGCTCAACAATAACAAGTTCTCTATCTGCAGCATCCGTAATATAAGCGCTGTTCTGACGAAAAAGAGAAACGACTGTTTTGTTGGTAGGTTCTCTCGTGTGTGTGTGTGTGTGTGTGTGAGAGAGAGAGAGTGAGAGAGTGAGATTCTGTCTTCATGCTGCTGTCTGTGTACAGAGTCTGGCCAGCCTATCTGTGGTAATGGACTAGTGGAAATTGGAGAAGAGTGTGACTGCGGCTACAGTGATCAGTGTAAAGACCCATGCTGCTATAACGCCAATGAAGCAGAGGGCAAAAAGTGCAAACTCCAGCCTGGAAAAGTCTGCAGGTCAGATGTGATTAGCATGCCTTTGTACAGTAAATTTGTGAAATAATTATTTATCACAAAACATTGCTCCTAATTGCATTTGTTTGACTTTTGATTGTATAATTGGTAATTCTTATTCCGCAGTCCAAGCCAAGGCCCATGTTGCACACCAGAGTGTTCTTTTAAGGGCACAAATGAGAGGTGCAGACTCGAGTCTGAGTGTGCCCAAGAAGGTACATGCAATGGAGCCACTGCTCTGTGTCCTGCCTCAGAACCAAAGGCCAACTTCACCTCTTGCCATTCAGAAACGCAAGTCTGCCTCAATGGGGTATGTTAGTAATAGTCGCCCTTTTGCTGTTTTTGTGTCGGCTATGTGCAGTTTGTGTTTGTATTTAAAGTAAAAGGTGTTTCTTTTCTTCTGCCTGCTTGTTTTGACCAGGTATGCTCTGGTTCCATTTGTGAGAAGTATGGTCTGGAGGTATGCACCTGTGCCAGCCAAGATGAGAAGAATGAGGCGGCTGAGCTGTGCCACGTGTGCTGCATGGAGAAAAGTGAGTGACGGGCTTCAAAACTGTTCAAATACACAGTAGTAATATTAAGCTAGAATTATTTGTCAGTATCTCAAGAGTCACTCCTTCCTCTTCTGCTCTCAGTGAAACCCAGCACCTGCAGCAGCTCAGGCTCAGACAAATGGGCCAACTTCTTCAACAAGAAGGTCACAACGCTGCAGCCCGGCTCACCCTGCAATGACTTTAAGGGCTACTGCGACGTGTTTATGAGGTGCCGTCTGGTGGATGCCGACGGGCCTCTGGCAAGGCTTAAGAAAGCCATCTTCAATGCAGAGCTCTATGAGAATATTGCACAGTGGATAGTGGTGAGTGTCCTGTACAGGAAAATGCAGCAGCTCTCTCTAGTGGAGCCAATACTCAGAATCTGTCAACACAAATACATATAGAAACTATTTCTGTGGTGTGTCTTGCCTGCTCACAAATATCCTTAAATATATCCTCTGTTGTCCAGGGTTACTGGTGGGCAGTGCTGTTGATGGGCATCGCACTTATTATGCTAATGGCTGGCTTCATCAAGATCTGCAGTGTCCACACCCCCAGCAGCAACCCCAAACTGCCCCCACCAAAGCCACTGCCAGGTAAAGTATATATACCTTTATATTTACATATATGTTCACATGCACCCACAGGATGTAGATAATTGAGTGCAGCTGAAGGTGAGCGATTTTACATGTTGATACTTTGTTGTATAATACGAGTAAAGTGAATTCTGTTTGAATAATGGCTTTTGAGATCATTTGCCACACAATCTGAGCATTTATATACTGCACTATTCTTGCCTCAGGTTTTGCTGACATTCTGTTTGTTAGGGGTCCTGAAATGTGACTATTGCTATTCTGTGTTATCAGGAAAACTGGATATCTAGTTGCTAAAACAATTAGGTTTAGAAAAGAAGCTGCATTAGTTTCTAGAGAGTTTGTTGTCCTTTTTTCTTTTTTTTTTTTAAACTCACTGAAATGTCGATGTCCTTTAGGTACGCTGAAAAGGAGACGACAGCAGCAAGCCAATCAACAGCTTCAGGGCCAGCGCGCACCCCGTCAGCAAAGAGAGAACTATCAAATGGGACAGATGAGACGCTGAGACACTGGTCTGCTCTTTGCCTTGGTTCCCTAGTGCCTACAATGGGAGCACTTCACTCCAAAGAGTTACCTTTACCACATATTGCAAAATTCAAAGAACTTGCAACAGGATCGATTTCACTGGACAAAGCCTGAGGTTTGTTTAATTTTGGGCCTAACAAACTCATTCAGCACCTCTGCTCTGAGAGCCAGATTAGCAGTGGTTCACACAGCTTTTATAGGAAATAAATAACTTTTCCAAGGAGGGACAGGAGAAGAAATTCATTGATCTCTGTTTATGTGGTTTTAACCCCCCCCCCCCCCCGAATGCTTTTTTGTTATTTTTTTTTTTACCAGAATGGCAGAGAGAGAAGCAGCTTTGTGTTAGATGCCTTCCTCTGCCTTCCCTCTGTGCTACATTTGTCTTTCCTGTTCTTCCTCTCTGAAGTGCTGCCATCATCAGCACGATAGCAGCACTGCAAGTCACTTGCTGCCAATGAAAAACAGAGTTGAGTTGGAGGAAAACTTTTTTTGTTGTTTTTAAAGCAAAGCACCATCAAATGTTGAAGCTTTTTATTTCTATAGTGTACATGTTCTTTCAGTATGCAATTGTACATATGCTCCAATAGGTTTCTTTTTCTTTGTTTCAAATTACATTTTCTGTATGATTAAGATTATTTTCTGTTTTGATTCACTTTCTCAGGATTAATAAAATGACAACAAACAAAGTGTAGTGAGCGGAAAACATGGTTGCATGAGTATTTCAGGGTAAAGTCCCTCCTGGCTAAAGGCTCTACAGAAAGGTTCACGTTAGCTGCAGTGGGAAGTAGAGGAAGGGTTGTATGAAGAAATGAAATGAAATGAATAAATAAGATTAGAGTGTCATCTCTTATCAGATGGACGGCTGCGGAGGGGAGATTGATTATCTTGTTATGTCTATTTCTTTTTGTGAAATGCTTTTGCAGCTGCATTTACATAAAGTTATAGTTTGGGGCTTAAATAAGTGGTGAGAGAATAGCTTTTTATCAACCTGATTGTATCACACTTTTATTCTGTCATTTCCTCTGACTCGTCGCTTTGGCACTGATTTGTGACGCATTTGCAAAACAACCACTTTGTGCTACAGATGCACGTGTGTCTTTACATTCGGGGTGAAAATAGTGAAAGCAAAGAGGAGACAGTTCAAAAAAACTCTGCGGACAAAGAAGAATATATAAGAAGTTATTATTGAAAGTGTCTTTGTGTGATTTATCTGCCACTTGCTGTGTTCTGTCCACCTTTTGAATTTCACAGTTTTTGATGAACCTCTATGGTTTAAATGTGATTGTGGATTTAGCTTTTATTGTTTTCACTTGCAGTTCAGATTATTTGTATATGTGGAGCAATTGAATCAGTTGAGGGAAAACTAGAGCTTCTAATGTTTATTGTTGCTTTGTTGCTGCTGTTAACAGACATTCACCAGAGCAAACAATCACTGTGTGTCAGCCACCCGCCGCTGTTCTGTCCTTTCTTTTCCTACCAGGATTTTCTCAAGGAACTTTGTTACCCTTGTTACATCCTGTTGGTTTGTGTGATTGCTTTAAAAATGTGCCTACTCAGAGCAGTATGACTGAAGTTGGTGTACTAGTGTCAGTGATCTTCACCAAGGCTGAAACCATGCATGAGGTGGCAGTTTATCTAAGCAGAGTGTTATCAGACTGCTGTTGCAAAAAGATGTGGTTTAGGGCTTGGCACTGTATAATAATTATAGGAAATGTAAGTCATGATTGATATACAACTATATCGGCCAATGCGTGAACTTTTTCGTATTATAGTCCACAATTATTTCTGATTTTTGAAGAGATTATAATTAGTATTTACTTTGTTTAATAGCATATTGTTGCCTGCCTCTCAAGCCTTTGGTTTGACTTGAGTTTTCAGTTGTCTCCAGTCAGATTGAATTTAGGTCATCTTCACTGACGGTGCATAATACTCTGACTTGAGTGACTAGCAGAACATAAAAATAGATATGTATAGTTTCTTAAAATTATTTTAGGAGGGAACAACTTAGCGGAGAAAAGACGTACTTTTTTCTTACCCTTGCAAAAGAGCTGCATCTCAGAATTGCTTTCTGTGCAAAGGATGTTGCGATGCTGCATTATCGATCAGATAGATTCTATGCAGAGTGTCACAGAGCTCAACAGTGAACAAGTTAGCCTCTTCACAGAAATATGCCTTCAATTCTTCCTCCTAAATGCATACATGGAAAAGTCTGTTGTGTTTTCATAGCAAAATAGTTGTTCATGTTGATGTGCTACAGCAAATTTTCTGAACAAACAAAAAATACAATCCTCTGTGGCTTCTTATTGATTTTCTTTGTTTTTTTGGTGCTACTGGTAGTGCTTTTTTCTTGGGTCGGAGCTTAAACAATATTTTTCATTCTCTTTGGCAAATTTTAAAGCTTTTTAGTGTGTTTGCAGGCTGCTTTGCTGAATCATCCTCATCTTTTTTATTGATACATTAAGATGTGGACAATACTGGGTGTTGGGGGATATGGGGAATAATACTCTCTGGGAAATGTTTCTGTCTTTCACATGTGTTGCTAAGATGTTGAGAAAATGTGCGCTGAAGTGTAAGTGATGTGAACAGAGAATCCAAAATGGAATAGATTCAATACTACTGTCTGATTTTAATGTTTCCCGTGTTTTATACATTGTCTTCATTGGTCTTCTTGTTATTTACATTTGTCCTGTTTCCCATTCTGCTTACTTTGAAAATTTTACTAAATTTGCAAAGGTATTGTGCAAAAATATAATTTCTTTTGAACTACTTGAAATGCGATAATAAACCAGAAATGAGCAAAAGTTTTTCCACTGTTTGTACATTATAGAAAAAGATTGGGATTTTTCAACAGATTTTTTTTTCATCACACCATAAAAGTTAGACATGCAGGGTAGTGATGATGTGGATTTGTCAGGTGTTGCAAGCTGCTCGACAAGACTTGATTCAACTGCCACGATGGTCTGACATGAGCTGGTGTTTAATGTTCCAGCTTTACTCACATCTCTCTGTGATTAAACCTGATGTTTGGGTTTACTGCCTTCCATTTAAATGGGCTGCCCTCTGCAGTCAACACCTGCTGAATGCTTTCATCTAATTGAGAGATTTCTGTCTGATTTCTGTGTTTTGACTCTCAAGCTGTCAGCAGTTAGACGTTTTTACCTTTAAATTATTTTTATTGTACATGAACACTTACTATACTATGTTTTTACACTACTAATTTACCAGTGTCAGCTTTTCTATAGTATCCTATACATTCTGGCGAATAATCAGTTAATACATGACCAGTGCATGTTCAAAGGCTAAAAAAAACAAACAAAATAGACTTTTTAATGCTCTGGTAGGAGTTTGATTAACGTACATTTGTATAATATGATTTACAGGAAGAAGGTAGGTGTTAAGAGGTGTTATTATGAGATTGATCATTTTACATTGGATATTCAAGAAAAAAAGTACACCCTCTTAATTAACGTCATCAAAAGGTCATTGAACTTCTGAATTCAGTTAACATTTGAATTGGCAAACACTCAACTGTTTATATCTGAAACATTTGCTTGTGGACAGAAATGAAAGTCTGGGCTGGTTATTAATACTACATTGTGAAGTTCTGGTGAGAAGATCACATGCAGTACTTAGCTTATTAATCATCTGATCACATAATCAAACTTGAACATGTCTCTGTAAATTGTAAACACAGTTCACAATAGTTACTAGTTGTTTTCTAGCCTCAGCTTCGCTGGCTTCCTTCTGTGCTGTTTTGGTGTGTCTTCTTTACAGCGCACAAACACTTTAGCCTGCAACATTTCAATCTGCTGTCCATCATTTGTTGTGGCACAAAAAGATGTCCTAGAAAACAGAAACAATGTTGTTGACGTGGTGTGGTTAAACAGGAAGTGTGTGAACGGTGAAGTGTAGCAGAGAGCGGCCAAGCACTGATGAGAAATGATTCAAACTGTGTGTGGAAAACAATCCACTAGGTGGCATTAAAAGTCTGCGACGGTGTCGATGCTGTCAAGAGTGGGACACTGCAAGATGTTACGGTATCTGAAAACAAGTAAATGTATTCTCTATTGAATTCCTTTCTCTGTATACATACTGACACACACATACTTACAATAATTAGTATGATTTATTTATATAGAAATTATAGGCAGGGTCAATATATTATATATATTGTAAATATATATCTAATCTACTGTAGGCTTCTTAAGAACAGGTTTGAGGTAGGCTTGTACTTGTAATTTACTTGACTATTTCCATTTTATGGTACTGCTACACTACGTCATAGTAGTAATACAGTCATTTTCACTCCACTACATCTGTGGATAAAGATGGTTGTCGTGTTGCTTACATTTGGTGTTTGTAGTATTCTCAAAAAACACTGATAAATTTAACTACTAACAAACAGTATTAGTTAAAATTACCTCCACTTTTGACAACTGGGGCATTTAAATTTTGTCTCTCAATGTAACAGTAGTAATGATCCACTAGTGAACTGTATATAAGATAGGAAAAATGTGAAATGGGACCATTGTGCAGTAAGGGTACTTTTATTTTTTAGACTTATTTTGTTGAGAATACTTCCGACCCCGTGCAATTATGAATGCAGTGAGTGATGTAATGAACATTTACTTGTAATGGAGTATTTTTGCCTTGAGATATTGCTACTTTGAAATGTTTGAATAGTTTCTCGACCACTGCTGCCTTGTAACGCAGGGCTGTACCTCTCCTGCGTCTCGCCTGCTTTGACGCTGATCTTGCCCAAAGTTAGGAGTGGTTTTCTCTTCTGGCCGCCCCAAGGAATGATGGTCTGCACCCGGTTCCACATGTTGTTCCATAGAGCCGATCCCTCCCAGCGCATTGTGAGCAACATTAAATCCCCTAAATCTCTGTCCAGGGTGATCAAGAAGGTGAAGGTCTTATTACCCAAAATCGTTTCAGTGCTGTTTAAAAAGACAGACACAAAAACAGAACAGAATTAGACTATTACAGAAGTGAACACGCTTTATTACAAAGTGAAGATGAAGCAGAGAGCACATGAGATTTCCTCTAAGGCTAAGGACTTTTGATACACACAACATAAAGGAAAACACAGTTGTCAGGGAATAGTGTCTTTAGTAAATAATTTATTCCATCATCCCCATTTATAGTTCTCTTTCATGCAGCAGCTCCAGTGGTTTCCATGTGTGTCAGCTGCTCTCCTTAACTTGCCTTCTTTCTTTGTAGCGCTGAGAGCCCAGCTGCATATTGCATGTGTCAAAGACTGAGTACACTGAGCATAGATGTCATGTAATGTAAGCCTGATGGGAGGTGGCGCAGTACTCACATGGTGATGGAGAGCTCGGCACTCTCCTCCTTTGTTCCAGAGAGTGAAATGGTGAGAGTGGGCTCGATCCTCTCCATCTGGTTGACAAACTGGATCCTGAACTGGTAATGATAGACTGCAGAGAAGGAAACAGAAGAAGAAGAAGAAGAAGAGATGAAGATAGTAAAGCCATCCAACGCAGAGTTTGTGTTCTGCATGTCTTTGCATTCAATCACTGTAAAATGGGAGAATTTTAATCCCATTCAGCTTTGATCGTTACTGAGAGCAAGACATCCAGCTCAAACTATGACAGAGGTCACTGTGTCACATCGTATCATATACAGATAGGGTCTAACCTACTAACACGCACAATTTTAATACAGGTACTATATTCTTTAAAAATATTTAAATGGGAAATAAAACTAGAAATTCCCCGAGCACAGCAACAACAATCAGGTGCTGGTAGATGGCAAGATGAGGCTATGAAAAGTCAAAAACAAGCTACCGCACGCTGATATGACTTTACTACACTACCTTTATTGTGCGCAACGCTTTTCGCCCATTGCTTCTTCACGCTCACACAGTTAAATTACAAAAACACTCACAGGTGTGCTAAGTAGACCCTGTGTAGGTCACGTGACCAGTACATTTAATTTTTTTGATGACTTGTGTATATACATTTATAAAATCAACATCTTATACAAAATATTATAATACAAACAGCAAGAATGTGATTAGTAGCCAAACAGATTTAAAAAAAAAAACATCAAGAAATATATATATTAAACATACATAAGTCACAAGAATTACAACATTACAGGAACTCATAAGTTCCAACCTCTGTCATATACACCTAAAGGGGAGAACAAGACACTCAGTATCTCAACTTTCCCTGAAGGTTAAACACACCTCAGAGAAAGATATATAATAATCATTATCATAGGAATGAGCGAAAATCTAGTGTCTGTGAGGCTCAATTGTGTTCAATTCATGAATCCAAAAAGCTTCCCTTCTTAAAAGTTGGTGAATCAAGTTACCCCCTCTTGGATTAGGAATCAATCTTTCAATGACAATAAATTTAAGGGAAGTAGCCAAAGCATGGTTTTTCTCTTTATATTGTCTAGCAATGGCATAATCCATGTTCCCTTATGCTCTGCCACTCTCAATTTAAGATTCCGTTTAGTTTGGCCCACATACATTAATCCACATCGACATTTCAAAAAATCTTGACAACATGGGTAGACAGACAATTAATGAAGTCTTTTATGTTATATTTCTTTCCTGAATGTGGGCGATTAAATGTTTTTGTGTCAAATGTGTTTGAACAATGTGCACATTTGCCACATCTATAGTTCCCATAAAGTTGTAATGAAAGCCAATTAGTTTGTGTGGGTTCTCACATGGAACTGACAACAAAATCTCTGACATTTCTGCTTCTCCTGAAGCAAAAACGAGGTCTAGAAACTGAAAAATGGTACAATATTCCTACACAAATATTGTTCTGTTTTCAACAGGTAAAGGGGAAGGCTCCAATAATTCTTTCCTATCTTTTCTATTGATTTCTTCCACAGCCTGGTCAATAAGTTCTTGATCATATCCCCGTTCTCTAAACCATCCAGACATTTCTTTACGCTTTACATGATAATCCTGTTCTTCAATACATATTCTTCGTAATCTAATCACATGGTTATGATGGCAACTAGTAGCGTGTAAAATAGTATTTCTGTCGGTTTCTTTTCAATTGATAGATGTCTCCATTTGTCTGTTTTCATTAACTGTGATCGAAAGATCCAGAAATTGAACTTTTTTAGGACTGTGTACCATTGTGAAATGCAGAGTTGGATAAGTATTATTGATGTATTCACTAAATCCCCTAAGTTCATCCTCAGAACCTTTAAACCCCATGAGAATGTCATCAATATATCTTTTAAAGACCAAGATGTTGTTTGCAAAGGGGTTATTATTAAAAATATGTCTCTCTTCCCACAAGCCCATGAACAAATTAGCATAATTAGGAGCAAATGGTGAACCCATTCTTGTACCTTCAGATTGCAAGTAGTATTTCTTATCAAAAATAAAATAATTTGACTCCAAGATAAACTTAGTGAGTGACATATGTAATTCCACTGGAAGTTTATCTTTTTTATGAGGTTGGACTAGAAGCTATGAACCTTTATCTTGAGGCCCAAAAAGATACACTTTCAGGACCCATGTTCAGAAATAAGCTGTATCTGGCTTTAGCTACACAGCTGACACTTAGTTAGTGGAAAATACATAATCACCAGACTTCATTAAATATTAAATATGCCGTTGAAGACATGTAGCACTGGTCAGTAAAGTGAGTATAAAATGTCTAGAGATATATCTTAAGGCTGGTTGAAATGATGAGGACAGCCACGTACGTTTGTAAGGCATCCGAGAGCGTGTTTTCAGGTAGAGCCTCTTGCTGGTGCCACTGCGAACCCTCTTGATATCGTAGCCCAGTGTGTTGCAGCGGTTCTT